CTGGAGCTGGAGCTTCTTCGCCTGCTGAGGGTGCTGCCGGTCCCGGAGCTGCTGGGCCTGCGGGTCCTACTGGAGCTGGAGCTACTGAGTCTGGGGGTGCTGAGTCTGGAGCTGCTGAGCCTGGAGGTGCTGAGTCTGGAGCGGCTGTGCCTGGGGGTGCTGAGTCTGGAGCTGCTGAGCCTGGGGTTTCTCCTGCTGCTGCGTCTCGCCGGGAGCCCCTCTCTCCCCAGGAGCTGCGTGAGTGGTTTGCTCGCCGCTGGAGGAGTGCTGCTGGAGCTGGAGCTTCGTCGACCGTCGAGGGTGCTGGTGCTGCCGGTCCCGGAGCTGCTGGGCCTACGGGTCCTACTGGAGCTGGAGCTGCTGAGGGTGTTGGTGCTGAGACTACTGCTGTCTGTCCTGGCGGTGGTTCTGCTGCTGGTGCTGCTGGAGGTCCTGCCGCTGGAGGTGTTGGTGGCGCTGGTGCTGTCGCTGAGGGTGCTGGTGCTGTCCCTGCTGAGTGTGGAGCTGCCACGCGGCCTCGGCCGTACTTCGTTCCGCTCCTACAGCAGGTTCTTGGTCTTTCTCCGTCGGTAGAGTGTCCACAGCCTGTCCAGTCGCAGTCACTGTTGGAGCCTTCCTCTCCTCTGCCTGCTCCCTCTCCTTACACTGGTCCTACTGGAGGTCTTGCTGAGCGTCGTGAGCCTGCGTCTCGTCCCGCGTCGCCTGTTCGTGCTACTCGCGCTAGTGGTCGCGGTTCGCGTCAGCGTCCTCCTCCTGTCCCTGGCACGCACCGGATGTCTCTGCGTCCGTCCACTGCTCCTCTGCGTGCCCCTTTGCCTTCTCCTCCTGAGTCCTCTCTTCCTGCGCTTGCCGACCCTGAGTCGGACTCTCTTCGCGCTGCCAGTCCTACTGTCACGCGTCTGCTTGCTACTGTCGTCACTGACCCCTCTTTTGAGTCCACTGCTGCGTCTGCTCTAGTCGCTGAGCTCGTTGACTTTGCTGCTCGCTGTCGTCTCGACTACGCTGCTGGTCTTGTTGCTGAGTCTGCGTCTGTCTGTCCTCCGTCCGTCGGGGGTGAGTGTGCTCTTGGCACGGACGTCCTAGAGGACAGACAGGAGGAGTTACAGTGTCTAGCGGCTGCTTCACCTCATCTCGCGTCTGTACTGCTTGCCCCTGAGGGAGACCCGGATGCACTAGACATCCCGACTCCGCGTTCTTACGCGGAGGCCGTAGAGGGTCCCTACTCCTCTCAGTGGCAGGCAGCTATGGATGCAGAGATGGCTTCCTGGAAGTCCACAGGCACCTACGTTGACGCAGTTCCCCCTCCTGGGGCGAACATCGTCAGTGGCATGTGGATCTTCCGGGTGAAGCGGCCGCCGGGCTCTCCACCTGTCTTCAAGGCGCGGTACGTTGCTCGTGGCTTCAGTCAGCGGCAGGGAGTTGACTACTTTCAGACCTTCTCTCCCACCCCGAAGATGACCACTCTTCGGGTGCTGCTGCACATAGCCGCTCAGCGCGACTACGAGCTTCACTCTCTCGACTTCAGCACTGCGTTCCTGCAGGGTAGCCTGCACGAGGAGATCTGGCTGCGCCGTCCACCTGGCTTCACTGGGACTTTCCCTCCTGGCACCCAGTGGAGCCTCCGACGGCCAGTCTACGGTCTCCGCCAGGCACCGCGTGAGTGGCACGACACACTGAGGACTACGCTGGCGGCACTTGGGTTTGCTCCTTCTACTGCTGACCCGTCGCTGTTTCTGCGCACCGACACCTCACTGCCGCCGTTCTACATCCTCGTGTACGTCGACGACTTGGTCTTTGCCACAGCGGACACTGCTGGACTCGCCTACGTGAAGTCCGAACTGCTGAAGAGACACACGTGCACAGACCTGGGTGAACTGCGCAGCTACCTTGGCTTGCAGATCACTCGGGACAGAGCACGCCGCACCATTACCTTGACTCAGTCACACATGGTGCAGCAGGTCCTTCAGCGCTTCGGCTTCACGTACTCCTCGCCTCAGGCCACTCCTCTGCCTACTCGCCACTCACTCTCAGCTCTGCCTTCGGATGAGTCCGTAGAGTCGAGTGGTCCGTATGCAGAGCTTGTTGGCTGCCTCATGTACCTGATGACCTGCACACGACCTGACCTTGCATACCCTCTGAGCATTCTTGCACGCTATGTTGCTCCTGGGAGACACAGACCAGAGCACATGGCTGCAGCGAAGAGGGTATTGCGCTACCTGTGCAGTACGTCGGGCATGGGGCTTGTGCTTGGAGGGCGGAGTCCAGTGGTCCTTACCGGCCACGCGGACGCTTCTTGGGCTGACGACCAGGCTACGCAGCGGTCGTCACAGGGTTACACCTTCAGCCTTGGTTCCGGCTCTGTCTCGTGGCGGTCTACTCGCTCGTCTTCGGTTCTCGGCTCCAGTTGTGAGGCTGAGATCTACGCCGGGGCCATGGCTGCACAGGAGCTTCGCTGGCTCACCTACCTGCTGACTGACCTTGGAGAGCCGCCTCGTTCTCCTCCAGTGCTGTACGTAGACAACAGGGCCATGTTGGCCTTGTGTCGAGAGCAGCGCTTGGAGCACAGAACGAAGCACATTGCTCTCCGCTACTTCCTTGCTCGTGAGCTGCAGCAGCGTGGTCAGTTGCGACTTGCGTACGTGGCCTCTGAGGCCAACACTGCTGATGTGTTCACCAAGGCACTCGCGCCTTGTGACCATCAGCGCTTTTGCACCCAGCTGGGTCTTGTGCCTGTCTTGCCTCACTTGCTCTCCTCTTGACTTCACTTGTACTGTGACATATATATATACCTGCTCTTGCTTGTCTAGTTTTATATATATGTCTGTACTCCTGCATGTGAACTGGCCTCTGGCCCTGCTCTTGTGCTCAGACTGTGTGGTGACTTTGTGATCCACCCTGAGCTTGCTTTGCTTTGCTTGACTGGTCTTGTGACCCCTTGTTCTCCCCCACTTTGCCTATGGGGGTGTGTCAAACATTAGATATGTTCTGCTTGTGTAGGCTACAGTGGGTTAGCCTATAGGGGGTACACAATTCTAGGGTTTCCTACTTGTACTCATTTCACTGCTAGTTCATCCATTCCTGTTCGCTTATTCTCACACATTCTGTGGTTTATATTGTTTTGTATGCCATGTATTATAAATATGAGACTTTTAATCATTCTTATTATCATCCTTCTGGATTAGTCAATCAAGCTAAGAATGCCAGCCATCATTACACCTTGCGTGCTAGACTCACTGCTTCGAGTTTGCCTTTTCGACTTCGGAATCTTGCTTGCTGCACTGTGCACACCTCGTACTCCAAGCGAAAAATGCCAGCCACTCACGATCATCCAGTTTGTGTTGCGCGCCAAGCAAGCGACCTGTCAGTAGCGTACAGTTTACGAGGCTTTCGGAGGATCCAGTACGGTTCCTGTATGCTTCGTGAGGATCCAGTACAGTCAGTGATTTTCCCGCGCATTTTCAAAAGAGCCAAAGTATGTCGTTCAGTTCCATGAGGAAAAAAATTCGTTCGCACGCTGTACCTTCGCGAAACTATGTTCTGAAGAACATAGCATCTCCGCGAATGAACATTGTTGTGCATTGACACGCAACTGGTGTTCAGTATAGCGGTTCCAAGCAAGCTCCAGTGTCCAAGTGTAGCAGCTCCTACTAGTTCTTGAAATTCAGCCACTCAAAGCTGGCGGTTACAAGTTTCAATTTCACGTGAATCTCAACTCAGTCTGGCATTCAATTTCACGTCAACGTAGTCTCGAAACCGCCAACAATAGGAGCCGTAACGAGCATAGGTGGGCATACTGTGATAGACATACACTTTTCTTTAAGTAAGTCGTGTCGATCTGCCGTTCTTCTATACTCGCAGTCCGTCCACCGTGAGGAGCATTTATTAGACTCGTGTCACCGTTGCCATCTTGTCAATTTCTGTATATTAAGGGTCACCCACCGGTATCATCGCCTGCAACGCTCCTGCAGGTGCAGTTAGCTTGTCGAATCTGTGCCACTTGATTTTTGCGATGTGACGTCTCAATGAGCACCTGCCAGTCAGCGACTATTTATGAAAGCCGATGCTTGATCTTCTCTCCTTTACGTTCTTGCTTTTGCTAAAAAACAGACGCTGTAACGCATCGCCCTCCTACCCTACGAGCGTTTCCTAGCTAAAGCACTACCTAAGCAAGGTATCGACTACGGGAAGAAGAGGATGGAGGAGATGAGTGGTGATTGGTCCACAATTGTGGACAACCACCCACTAAAAGACAAAGCATGGTTGGAATCCAACCCAACCCCACATTGGTTGGAATTCGAACCAATGACAATTAAACATTGTTGTTACAAGTTACAACATGTAACATAACCATTCTTATCACAATTCTATTGCTCTCATTGGTTGCTAATCCAACCATTGTGCCACCTAAGCAAGCTCACCCCAAGGAGCTCCTTGCCCTTGTTGCCATGGAGGAGGTGGAGCTCCCCAAGGAGGTCTAGGGGGGGGATTGAGCTCACCAAGCTCATTCTCAACTCCCAACTTCCAATTAACCAAATGGAAATGGGATTTTACTTCTAAGTCCAAGACTTTTCCCTCACAAGTGCTCCAAGCATCTACTATCTTCTTGGTGAAGCTACATTTTTCTCTTCCAAGGTTTCACCTACCAAGCCTCCAAGACTTGAGGCTACTATTAGGACTAGTCCCTGTTATGTGTGTGTGTTCTTGGCGTTTTATAAGCCTACTATTGACCCTTTTGTGGGCATTCTTTTATAAGCCCGGGTCTTTATTGTGTTTTTAAGGGCGTTTTCATATAAGCCCGTGTTACAGACGCTTACGCAATATGTCAGATTGCTGGAACGCGGGTGCAATTATCGCGACAGTCTTTCTTCCACCTCTTGGAACCTTCATGAAGAAAGAGTGCGGATACGAATTCTGGGTACGGAATAGTTTTTTTCCCTGTTTGAACTCTGAAAGTTCGGGATGGATGTGTAGTAGCTCTTTGCGTTTGCCTTTGTAGTGTTATGCGTTACTACCCGTCTCTCGCGCTCAACGTCGCTTATCAGGTCAGTCCCCTAGAGGTCTATGCGGACAGTTTGGTTTATGCGGTCGATGGGGACTGTGAGGCGTCCCTGTGTGTGTGGCGCCTTTCGGATTGTGCGTGTGGCGCAGGCAGTTTGCGGGCATGCAATCCGTTATAGCGGCGTTCTGGCGGATTGTAAGCCAGGCGCCACACACATGTTTCGTCTCGTGTGTGTGGCGCCTGTCGGATTGTGCGTGTGGCGCAGGCAGTTTGCGGGCATGCAATCCGTTATAGCGGCGTTCTGGCGGATTGTAAGCCAGGCGCCACACACATGTTTCGTCTCGTGTGTGTGGCGCCTGTCGGATTGTAAGCCACTGTTACCTGTCGCCTGCACTCAACATCGCCTCACTATGTGCTACTTTCTCCATGAACCCCCATTTCATCTGTTCCCCCCTCTGTTCCCGCCTCCGTGCCCTCTCCGTCCTCCTGTCTTCCACACTGCCTTCTCCCCGTCCGCAGGACTGCTATCGCCTTCTCCTCGCCCCGTCTCACCTTCTCACAGAGCCTTCTCGCAGAGCCTTCTCACAGAGCCTTCTCACCAAGCCTTCCGCCACGCGAATCGCAGCAGGAAACGTCCTGGCAGGCGCAGCAGCAGGAGCCACTGGCCTTCTAGTCACGTACCTGCCTCCAGGTGACTTTTGAGTCGACTCAAAAGTCGGCTCGGCAGGCGCAGCAGCAGGAGCCACGAGCCTCCTGGTCATGTACCTACCCTCTAGACGTGGCGCACACTCGGTTTATGAGGCACCTCAAAAACAACCTGCAACGTCCTGGCAGGCGCAGCAGCAGGAGCAGTAGCCACTAGCCTTCTAGTCACGTGACTACCCTTAAGACGTGGCACACACGCGCCTGGCCGGCAGTCCGCTCGCCGTACCGCGACGTGCTGAAGCTTGTCTGGGCCTGGTGAAGGTGCTATCTGTGAAACTGCAGACCTGGACACTCACCTGCCGGCTATCATGACTGCTTTGCTCTCCACCAACGAGGTTGTCGCTACCCGGTTCGAAGCCAAGGTATGATATGGATTGGAATGCCTGCTGCCTTCACCCTGCTGCCTGCTTGCCATCATCCCCACCCATTCAAATGCCGCCACCACTCCCCCTCCTCGCAGGTGCGCAATATAGTGCAGCGGCTGGTGAGATGGTGAGGCCATGCGATGGTGGCGGGGGGGTGCCGGAGGAGCATCAGCGACTGCTCACACACATCCGCAAGGTGGGTTCGTGACAGGGAGGAAATCCGAGTGGCGCGGCGGTTATTACATGGACACTGTCCCAGGCAAGCCAAACCCTCTGTCCCAGGCAAGCCAAACCCTGGCGCCTGCGAGTGGCGCGGCGGTTATAACATGATTATCTGTCTTCCCCATGCATCTGCCTTCACTCATTTCTCCCTTCGTGTGTGCCCGCTCCCTCCCCTCCCCCCCCCACTTCTCCCCGATTTCCCTCTTCCACTCCCACCCCGTTTCAGAACGAGTGACTGGATCCACTCGAAACTGTTTTCGGACACATCAGCGGACGGCGATTCCAGCGATGACGAGGATTACAGCGACGCTGACGAGGACGAGCGCAGCGTGTTCGGCAGCAAATCACGCGCCGCCAAGTCAGCGTCCCGCCAGGACGGGTCGACGAAGTCTGTGTGGTCGAACGCGCTCTTGTCCAGGTGTGCTGACGTGGCATGGAGCATGGTATGGGGCATGGGATGGGGCATGGGGTGTGGCATGGGGTGTGGCATGGGGTGTGGCATGGGGTGTGGGATGGGGTGTGGCATGGGGTGTGGGATATGGTGTTGCGGGTATGGGTTCTTCACTTAGTAAGCAATTGCATCCGATGGCATGGTGTGTGGCATGTGAGACCATCTCTCCCAGCGCAGTCCTGCTTCTTTTGCTTCCTCTCTTTCTCCTTCCGCTGTTTCTCCTTCCGCCGTTTCTCCTTCCGCCTTGCTGCCCCATTCTGTCTCTCCCCCTTTTTCCCTTTCCCCTCCCTTTCCCCTCTCCCCACTCCCCTCTCCGCTCTCCCCTCTCAACTCTCCCTTCTCCCCTCAGCCCTCTCCCCTATCCCCTCTCCTCTCCCCTCTTTCCCTGGGACCTCTTCCTCCTGCGTTCTGGGCAAGAAGACAGACGGGCAGTTCTGCTCTCTGTTTTCTCCGTCCGCCTTTTCTCCTTGGCCATTTCACAATCCCTCCCCTCTCTCCTCTCCCCCCCTCCCCTCTCCCTGCAGGGCGGGCAAGAAGGCGCAGCACGGCAGGCCACAGCTGCAGCCATCATGCCACTTTCACGCTCTCTTCTCCCTCCTCTCTCACATCATGCCACTTTCACACTCTCTTCTCCCTCTCTCACATCTTACCCCTTCTCCTCTCCCTGCAGGGCGGGCAAGAAGGCGCAGCTTGGCAGGCCACAGCTGCACGAGCGGACCATGGAGACAGGTGGCGACACGCCCACCCGCGGAACCCTTTCCTCTGGTGCTACTGTTGCTGGTAGTGGGGGGCATACTGGTGGTGGTGGTGGTTCGAAGCGGCATCGTGATGGGGATGGGGAGAGGAAGGGGAGGATTCGGGCTTCGAGTATACAGAGGATGGAAAGATAGTTGTTCCGAATGAGACCGAGGGGGGAGAGGGTGGTAAGGGGAGGTAAGGAGGAGCCAAATAGGGTGTGGGCGCAGGGGGGAATGATGGAGAGGGGAATTTGGACTACGAGGTTATGGAGGATCATGACGTGGCGATGGGCGATGCCAGCCTGGCATCTGCGAGGGCTGCTGAGCTGGCGTTTGGCCGGCGGATCCGCAGTGGGGGAGGGGCAGGAGGGGCAGGGGTAGGGGCGAGAGAGGGGGTGCTAGTGCTGGTGGTGGTGCTGCTGGTGGTGGTGCTGGTGGTAGGAAGAAGGCCAAGGCCAGTTTTGGCCAGGCCATTCCTTCTGGTAAGGATAAGCGCGGTGGGAAGAATCAGGCTAGAAGTGGTAGCTGATGGTCTTATACAGGGGATGAATACGCTGCTGGCAGCGCACGGAGAGCAGGCGACGATGTGAAGGAAGGGAAACTGGAGCCGCACGCATACTGGCCGTTGGATGCAAAGATTCACAATCGGAGGGCTGGGAAGCTGGCAGCGGCACGGAGGGGAATGACCAGTGGTATTCCCAGCAGCGAGCAAAACCAACCCTCCCCTTGCACCTGTCCACCATGCTTGCACCTTGTAGGACCTTTTAGATATATGCACCTTTTACAACCAACACCCGAACAAGTTGGTCGTTGCACATGACCAAACTTGTTACAAGGTTGTTTTTTGCGCATCCGAACACCCAGGTTTGATCACTGACATTATCCGTCGCACATGCACAGAGGGATTTCGCAGCCAATAGAATTGGGCATCAATTTACTGTCTACGTTCAGAAACTGACGGCCTCACGAGCCGGTAGCAGTGTGACGGTTAGATTGTGGAGTGTGAGGAAAAGCAGTCGCATGCTTGTGATTGTAGCTAGATGCTACGCTGGCGCCAAATCATGAGTCATCGTTAGTATTCCCCTCAGCCGTTAAAACGAAATTGTTACAATGTTTTGGTCGCCAAGAATCGCCCAACGTAGCGGAAAGTCGCAAGGCACTAGATAGCTACGAAGTTGCTTGTTCTTAACTACCCGAAGTGGCTAAATTTTTGGTGTGTTAACCAGATAAAAAAGCGCGGGTACTAGCGAGTACAGTATTGATGGACCGCTGCTGGGCACGACAGCAAGGAAAGGCTCTAGGTGGGGCGTGACTTGGTATATTGACTTGGACGACTTCCTACCTACCAAAGACTAGCGCGACTATCAGCAGCAGCAACGAAGCTTGTGCTGCTGGTTTGTAACGAGTCATGGAAGTCGGGAGTCGCCTCGAGCTGACTTGGCGCGCACAGCAGTTGGGTCGGGGCGCGTTCACTACTGTACAAGGCAGGTACGTGTAAGTGGGTAGGTAGTACACCGGATCGCATAGCAATGATGTTAGGTGGACGACGCGTCCCTAACCAAAAATCTTCCTTTAGTAGGCTCTAGGGAAACGACAGCGTTCTTGCAGAAACGCTTTCTCGCCAGCTACGCTCGCTAGAATTCCGTCAAGTACGAGCAAGAGATCGGAACGAGGGATCGGAGTCTTCCGTGTTTTGAGTCGACTAAAAATAAGCGATCAGAGTCCTCCGTAGATCTACTTTTGAGGCGAAGTTGAGAGATCAATCTGTACTCAAGTGTAGATTCCGTCAGATCAAGTACGAGTAAGGGATCAGAGTCCTCCGTAGATCCGAGTCAAGTCTAGGGAGCCAAACACAGGCCCGTATATCCATGAGTCTTCCACAATTTTTTTCTTGAGGAGTATCCAATATTTCCCAAAAGAGTATTTCAAGGAGTCTACACTCGATACATATCGTGTTGCATGGTATTTCCGCTCGGCGAGAGCCGTCCGATGGCGAGGGCCAGCTGGCATCAACGGCACGCCGTGCACGTCTTTTGTGCCACGGCGCAACTTCTCACCTTCCTTTCGCTCACGACCCTGGTACGAACCCTAGACCGTACGATCCGCCCGCGCCAAGCAGCGGTGACCGCAACAGACTGATCACGCGCACTGCCTGAACGCACTGTCCGACCCGCTTACTACTATCGGGTCGCACTGTAGTACAGATACTACCTGTCCGGGTAGTAGCCGCACGCAGTGCTGGTACACGGTTTTCGAGACCGCGAGTCTAAAAATTCGTTCCGCGCGCAGCGCCGATACGCGGTCGTCCGTGCGCCTTCCTGCTGCCCGTAGCTCTTTCATTTCCCCTCCTGCGTTTGCATTCGAGCACTGTACAACCCTCGTGATAGAAGTGTAGTTTTGAGACGTCTCAAAACCACACTTCTATCTCTCCTGTCACAGGATTTGCATTGCCCTCCATAACCCTCGTGACACCGTGACGGCACCAGGTGGTGCCACCGTACTGCCACCGTACTGCCACCGTATAGTGCAGTGCACAGGCCGACTTGCGATGATCCTTCCTAGACCGCCATCGCCCATCGTCCATCGTCGTCCCTCGCCCCTCGCCCCTCGTCCCTTGTGTCTCACTGCTCTGCACCCGCCATCTCTACGCTCTCCCCCCCCCCGCCCCCCCCCCCCACTCGTCTCGATTGGAGTCATCATGATCCTTCAAGGATTCAGTTAAAGTCGGAATTCTAGGGTTTACCCGCCCGCCCGCCCGCCGCCGCCGCAAGGTCCAGCCCTAAACTACTGTCTCGTGCCCGTGCTCGTCTCCCCGTGCTCGTCTCCCCGTGCTCGTCTCCCCGTGCTCGTCTCCCCGTGCTTTTCTTTCCGTGCCCCTAACCCCCGGCAGGTGGCTGCTCAACTCAACTGCGGCGACCTGGTACGCCCCCCACCCTGCTCCCTCTCTGCTCCCTCTCTGCTCCCTCTCTGCTCCATCTCTGCTCCCTCTCTGCTCCCTCTCTGCTCCCTCTCTGCTCCCTCGCTGCTCCCTCTCTGCTCCCCGCCCCGCTGCTCCCCTCTTCCCCGTTTCCCCCATCGCCACCACTCCTCGTTTCCGTCTTGCGCACTGCCTCACTCTCAGCCTATCAACCCCCACTCTTGTTTTCACATCTGCACCTACTGTTCTCACATCTTCCCTCGTGCAATGTTCACAACCGCTCAACAGACGGAGTGTCCTGGTCTCGGGTAGTGCGTGGCCCCGGACATAATGTCTATTTCTTACTCAACTCATCACCTCGTGTTCTCATATTTGCTCCTATGCTATGCTATGGTCACAACCATTCAACAAACGGAGTGTCCAGGTCTCGGGCAGTGCGTGGCCCCGGATAAGATGTGCGACGGGACGGCCGACTGCAATCCGCACTGATTTCGTCAACTCACCTCCCTTTTTGTCACACGTTCCCCGCGTTACTGTCAACAGATGGAGTGTCCTGGTCTCGGGCAGTGTGTGGCCCCGGATAAGCTGTGCGACGGGACGGCCGACTGCAAGGACAAGAGCGACGAGGCCGCGTGGTACTGCAACCCGCTTGACTGCTCCGACCCGGATACCACCGTACGCTGCTCTGCACCGCTCTCAACTGCGCCGCACCTGCACATATAGTTTCACAGGTGTTTCTGCTCGAAGGTGTAGGCACGTGTTGACAGCATGGCACCTACTTGGTGGTCCATCCAACTGCAAGGATAAGAGCGACAAGGCCGCGTGCTACTGCAACCCACTCGACTGCTCCGACCCGGATACCACCATACGTCAACCCGCCACGCCCGCCGCCCCCTCCCCCAACCGCGCCATAACCTACAGCATGCTATGCGGCATCTTCCAAAGTCAACTTGAAGCTGTCTCAGATGGTTGACTTTTGAGTCGACTCAAAAGTCCAGAGTCAGCTTGAAGCTGTCTCAGGTAGTTGACGACTGAATCAGTCCCTCTCTTGACCCGCCAACTCCCCTTCCCTTCGCTCGCCCCTCCCCCTCTTTCCCCCTCAGGTGCAGTGCGTGGGAACGGATCACTGCGTGAAGCCCAGTCAGATGTGTGACGGCATCATGCAGTGCCTGAGCTGGATCACCCAACTCTGCTTCCTTTCCCTTGCCCTTCCCCCATCCCTCCTCCCGTCCCTCCCCCTCTTTCCCCCGCAGCTGGAGTGCGTGGGAACGGAGTACTGCGTGAAGCCGACTCAAGTGTGCGACGGCATCATGCAGTGCCCGGGCGCGATAGACGAGTCCCCCGGCTTCTGTCTCGACCACCGCAGCTCCAACTGCGAGGAGGATCAGGTCAAATGCACCGCCTCCTCCGCGTGCATCAAGGGGTACATGTGCGACGGCGTGCCGAATTGCCCCAAGGTGAAAAACGCCAGCGGAGTGCTGATAGCTCCGGACGAGGACTCCAGGTATTGCGTGGCATACGAGTGCCTGGATGGGTTTCAGAAGTGCGGCGACGGAATGCAGTGTGTGCGCCTCGAGGCTTTCTGCGACGCCAAGAAGGACTGCCTCGGTGCGTTCCTGCCCTACTCCCTGCCACCTTCCCTCTTGACCTGCTCATGACCTGCTCTTGACCGCTCTTGACTGGTCTTGACCTGCCCTTGACCTGCCCTTGACCTGCCCTTGACCTGCCCTTGACCTGCCCTTGACCTGCCCTTGACCTGCCCTTCACCTCTCGCCCATCCACGTCCTCTCATTCCCTTCGCGTCCCACCAGATGGGACCGATGAGGTCGACTGTGCTTACCCCGACACGGGCAGCTCGAGCAGCACCGGAACAACTGGCAGCAGCAGCAGCACGGAGAGCACAGGCAGCACGGTCAGCACCGGCAACACTGGCAGCACTGGCAGCACTGGCAGCAGCAGCACAGGTGCTGCTCAACTCAACTGCGGCGACCTGGTACGCCCCCATTCTGCTCCCTCTCTTCTCCCCCACTAGCCCTTTTATCCTAGTGGTCTAATGGCTGGGATTCTGACAGTTCTCTCTTCCTCTCTTCCGTCTCACGCACTGCCTCATTTTCATCCTATCACCCCCCCCCACCCTCGACTTGTGAAATTTCTCAGAGCTGACTCTTTACGCTTTACTGCAGATCCCGGAATTTCCGCGCTCTTTCCTCTCCCCACTCGTCACACTCGTCGCACTATTTCCAACTACGTATTAATCCAGCAACTTTTGAGGCGCCTCAAAAGTCTATTTCCAACTACGTATTAATCCAGCAATCTCCCTTGTCCCACTCGCTTTCGCCTTTTGAGTCGACTCAAAAGTCACCTCAGTATTAATCCAGCAATCTCCCTTGTCCCACTCGCTTTCGCCTTTTGAGTCGACTCAAAAGTCACCTCAGTATTAATCCAGCAATCTCCCTTGTCCCACTCGCTTTCGCCTTTTGAGTCGACTCAAAAGTCACCTCAGTATTAATCCAGCAATCTCCCTTGTCCCACTCGCTTTCGACTCCCTCCCACCCCTCCAAACCCCCCCGTGTCCTCGCACTTTTGCCAATCCACTACCTCCTCTTAAGTTACGCACTGACCTTCCTTTTGTTGCCACATGCACACCTGTTCTCATATCTGCCCCCGTGTTATGGCCACAACCATTCAACAGACATAATGTCTATTTTTTTGTCAACTCATCTCCTTTTGTTCTCATATTTGCCCCTATGCTATGCTATGGTCACAACCGCTCAACAGACGGAGTGTCCAGGTCTCGGGCAGTGTGTGGACCCCAGCAAGCTGTGTGACGGGACGGCCAACTGCAAGGACAAGAGCGACGAGGCTGCGTGGTACTGCAACCCACTCGACTGCACCGGCACCACTGTAATACATCCCTCCCCAGTCCCTCCCCTACCGCTCTCACATTCCCCGCCCGACAAGCGCAACTGCTCTGCCTGCACTCGCTGCTCTGCCCACACTCGCTGCTCTGCCCACACTCGCTGCTTTGCCCACACTCGCTGCTTTGCCCACACTCGCTGCTTTGCCCACACTCGCTGCTTTGCCCACACTCGCTGCTTTGCCCACACTCGCTGCTCTGCCCACACTCGCTGCTCTGCCCACACTCGCTGCTTTGCCCACACTCGCTGCTTTGCCCACACTCGCTGCTTTGCCCACACTCGCTGCTTTGCCCACACTCGCTGCTTTGCCCACACTCGCTGCTTTGCCCACACTCGCTGCTTTGCCCACACTCGCTGCTCGTTCCGACTTGCAATTGGCATGGTTTGTCTGGCCATTGACTTGCCTCCGTAGGTGTGCAGCAAAGTCATTCGCTCTCCTCATCCTCCTCACCCTCCTCACCCTCCTCACCCTCCTCACCCTCCTCATCCTTCTCACCCACAAGCTTTTGAGGCGCCTCAAGAGTCGTTCCCTCTCCTCGACTTCCTCACCCTCAAAGCTCCCCTTCCCTTCACCCGTCCCTTTCCCCGTGCGTCCGCCATCCCTTCCACCATCCCGCCCGCTGTCCCCCTCTTTCCCCCGCAGGTGGAGTGCGTGGGAACGGAGTACTGCGTGAAGCCGACTCAAGTGTGTGACGGCATCATGCAGTGCCCGGGCGCCATCGACGAGTCCCCCGGCTTCTGCCTCGACTACCGCAGCTCCAACTGCCAGATAGACCAACTCAAATGCACGGCCACCTCTGCCTGCATCAAGGGCTACATGTGCGACGGCGTGCCGAATTGCCCGAAAGTCAGGAACGCGAGTGGAGTGCTGGTGGCACCAGATGAGGATGCCAAGTATTGTGCTGCGTACTCGTGCCTGGACGGGTTCCAGAAGTGCGGCGATGGGAAGCAGTGCGTGCGCTACGAGGCTTTCTGCAACGGCAAAAAGGACTGCTTCGGTGCGTGCCTTTCCTGCCCTCCGCCCCCCTCCCCACCCGCTCCTGCACCCTCTTGCACTCCTCCCAACCAGCTTCCCTCTTGACCTGCCCTTGACCTCTTTTGACCTCTCTTGACCTACTGCTGTATGAGCCGGCAATCAAACACCCTCGCCCGCTTCTGCTCTCTCTCTCTCTCTCCCCCTCTACCTCTACCTCTGTCGGTTTCTCCCTCCTTCCTCATCCTTCCCCTTTCTTGCTCTCTCTTCGTCTTCCTCGCCCTTCACCTATTGCCCTTCACCTCTTGCCCTTCACCTCTTGCCCTTCACCTATTGCCCTTCACCTATTGCCCTTCACCTATTGCCCTTCACCTATTGCCCTTCACCTATTGCCCTTCACCTATTGCCCTTCACCTATTGCCCTTCACCTATTGCCCTTCACCTATTGCCCTTCACCTATTGCCCTTCACCTCTTGTCCTTCACCTATTGCCCTTCACCTATTGCCCTTCACCTATTGCCCTTCACCTATTGCCCTTCACCTATTGCCCTTCACCTATTGCCCTTCACCTAGTGCCCTTCACCTATTGCCCTTCATCTATTGCCCTTCACCTATTGCCCTTCACCTATTGCCCTTCACCTATTGCCCTTCACCTATTGCCCTTCACCTATTGCCCTTCACCTCTTGCCCTTCACCTCTTGCCCTTCACCTCTTGCCCTTCACCTATTGCCCTTTACCTATTGCCCTTCACCTCTTGCCCTTCACCTATTGCCCTTCACCTATTGCCCTTCACCTATTGCCCTTCACCTATTGCCCTGCACCTATTGCCCTTCACCTATTGCCCTGCACCTATTGCCCTTCACCTATTGCCCTTCACCTATTGCCCTTCACCTATTGCCCTTCACCTATTGCCCTTCACCTATTGCCCTTCACCTATTGCCCTTCACCTCTTGCCCTTCACCTCTTGCCCTTCACCTCTTGCCCTTCACCTCTTGCCCTTCACCTCTTGCCCTTCACCTATTGCCCTTCACCTATTCCCTTCACCTCTTGCTCTTCACCTCTTGCCCTTCACCTCTTGCCCTTCACCTCTTGCCCTTCACCTATTGCCCTTCACCTCTTGCCCTTCACCTCTTGCCCTTCACCTCTTGCCCTTCACCTCTTGCCCTTCACCTCTTGCCCTTCACCTCTTGCCCTTCACCTATTGCCCTTCACCTATTGCCCTTCACCTCTTGCCCTTCACCTCTTGCCCTTCACCTATTGCCCTTCACCTATTGCCCTTCACCTATTGCCCTTCACCTATTGCCCTTCACCTATTGCCCTTCACCTATTGCCCTTCACCTATTGCCCTTCACCTCTTGCCCTTCACCTCTTGCCCTTCACCTATTGCCCTTCACCTATTGCGCTTCACCTATTGCCCTTCACCTATTGCCCTTCACCTCTTGCCCTTCACCTATTGCCCTTCACCTATTGCCCTTCACCTATTGCCCTTCACCTATTGCCCTTCACCTATTGCCCTTCACCTCTTGCCCTTCACCTATTGCCCTTCACCTCTTGCCCTTCACCTATTGCCCTTCACCTATTGCCCTTCACCTCTTGCCCTTCACCTATTGCCCTTCACCTATTGCCCTTCACCTCTTGCCCTTCACCTATTGCCCTTCACCTCTTGCCCTTCACCTATTGCCCTTCACCTATTGCCCTTCACCTCTTGCCCTTCACCTATTGCCCTTCACCTCTTGCCCTTCACCTATTGCCCTTCACCTCCTGCCCTTCACATCATTTATCTCTCACCCCTTGATCTCTTGCCCATCCACGTCCTCTCATTCCCTTCACGTCCCACCAGATGGGAGCGATGAGGTCGACTGTGCTTACCCGGACACGGGCAGCTCGGGCAGCACTGGAACAACTGGCAGCAGCAGCAGCACTGGCACCATTGGCAGCACGGGCAGCACGGGAAACTTAGGCAGCACAGGCCCTTCAGAAGGCAGCTTGAGTGTGCAGCAGCTGACCGCGCAGTACCAGGCAGCAATCACTGCTCAGAGCAAGGCCAAAAAGGCCACAGATGCCACGAATGCCAAGGCAGGGCGCCTGGAGAAGGAAGCGAACGCTGCTGGGCTTCAAGCGGACAAGTTGCAGCGGAAGGCAGACGCTGCCGTGGCTTTAGCTAAGAAGAGAACAGAGGCTGCTAGGCAGGCTGGTGAGGATGCTGCGGCGAAACAGGCCGCTGCTGCCGCTGCCAGAATGGATGCTGACAGCAAGAAGCAGGCGTATGAGAGCGTGAAAGGCACGGCGAGTAAGCTGCGAGCGCAGCTGGAGGAGATGGGCAAGGTGCAGAAGAAGGCCGGGGGCTCCAAGGCACCGGGCTCCAAGGCACCGGGCTCCAAGGCACCGGGCTCCAAGGCACCGGGCTCCGTTTGACTTTTGAGGCTTGTAAAAAGATTGTGTGTAGAGACGACTTTTGAAGCGCCTCATAACATAAGCTGCGGGCGCAGCTGAAGGAGAGTGGCAAGGCGCACAAGACCGGGAGCTTGAAAGCACCGGGCTCTGTGGCTCCTGCCGGGTAGCGTTTCACTTGAACAGCCGACGCGTTCAAGTAACGTGTCACTTGAAGGCAGGGGGCGCCGGGCTTGTGCTGGGTAACGCGTCACATGAACAAGTAAGCCGTCGCACCCGCTGCATGCGCTCGCGGTACTTTGCTGCAGCCAGTGCGGTGGTGACTGGTGGGTGTAGGTTTGGTGTGATGACTGCTCGGTGGAAGACAATGGCGCTGCAGAGAACGGGGGAGCAGGGAAAGAGGGAGGGAAAGAGGGGGGGGAGGGGGGAGATCAGGATGGAAGCAGGGGTGGTGGTACTGATCCAGGAAGTGGCACAAGCGAGGGTGGGTACAACAAGCAGTGCGAAAAGAAGTGTTCCATCAGCTGACAGTGGGGCGGGTGAAGCGGACAATGCATGCAGCAGTTGGCTTTTACTGATGGTGTTGTGGGGAGTGGTTGTTTCGAGAAGGGTAACACTAGGAATAGACATATGGGTGGAAGTTGGGGGCTGATAATAACAACTCTAACTGGAAGTAAAGTAACCTGTTCCATTTATATGTAATATATGTATTATGTCTTATTTCTTGGTCTGGTGCTATCTTGCTCCACCATTCCAAAATGGTATCATTCTGTATTACCGGTATGCTAATCGTAAGGCATAAGGTTTCACATATGCTTTTGCGGAGTATCATGAACTCGCATTATCCTTGATATACGCTGTCACAGCACCGCTGGCTGAGTAACAGTCATCTGGTTGGTAGCATGCGCTTCGTGAACCCTAACCTGGAATCGAGACTGGGCAAGTGGTGACGCGTCGCACCTGAAGAAGTGCCACTGTGCAGCTCAAATCACGACATGCACATGGTGTTGCACTCTCATTGGTTCTCTAGACCCCGCTGTCGTTTTTCTCAGTTCGGGCAGGTTCTCAGGTGATATCCCAGCCACTTACCCGCGTCGCAAATGAAGCACAGTATCAGAAGGTTCGACAGGTGAGCAGCATATGTTTCGATTCCTGAGTCCCAACCGTGCCAGACCGCCAACTCGGCCAACTCACTCCCCTCGTCGGGAAGACATGCAAGCAAAGTCGTGCGGAATGTTCCACTTGCCCGCACCGCTCTTCTCCCTTCCGTTCCCCTCTCGCCCAGCTCCCTCACTTCCTCCCGCGCTGCCTCATTCCCCCCCGTGCCCGTTTCGCAACTGGCCCGTTCTGTTCCTTTCCGCGTTCTGTTCTCTCCCTCCCTCCCATCCTTTCCACCTGCCTCACCAAATTCGAGCCAACCCGTGTCCTCGCTCCACTCCACACTCTATGTAGTTCCCCTCAAGTGCCTTATCACAGATTCTGGTGGATGATGCCAGAGCTTAGGTCAAGCACGTCGAAGCGCGCAAGTAGCGACTACTAAGAACGAATTAGCGTGCAGGGGTTATTTTCGACTCTATTATTCTAGTTAGACTAGAGACAGACCCGCACCTCCCGCAGGAACCCCAAACCTACACTGTTCTAAATTAAATAAAACACTCATTTTTTTTTTTTAATCGGTACTTTTCACCTCGGGCGTCGTCCGTTTTGGTCGACGAGAGCGGTCCGATGGCGAGGGCTAGCTGGCATCAACGGCATGCCGCGCACGTCTTTTGTGTCGCGGCGCTGCTTCTCTCGCTCCTCTCGCACACCACCACCATGGTACGACCTGCCCCGCCCGGCAGTCTATGCTGTCTACTCAATAGTCACCTCTCGTTACAATGACACCATGGTACCTCTCGCCACGCCCAGCAGTCTGCTCTGCTCGTTACAGCAGCGCACGCGGCAGCAGTCAGACCTCACGTAAAGCCTAAACGCACTGTCCGACGGCGCAGCGCGCACGCAGAGCCTTACAGATTGTCCCGGCCAGCTTCCTTGCTGCCCGTCCGTTAGCATTCAATCAGTCCATACCGCGCGTATCGAGTTGACTTTTGAGTCGACTCAAAAGAGCCTTACAGATTGTCCCGGCCAGCTTCCTTGCTGCCCGTCCGTTAGCATTCAATCAGTCCATACCGCGCGTATCGCTGTACCACCGTCTCGTACGCACGGGCCGACTGGACAATAGTTGACGTTTCTCGTCTCTCGTGTATCCCACTTCTCGCAACCGCTGCGCAACCTCCCAATTAGGTCGGTCTTGCATGTATGAATCCTAGATTATCACTGAGCATCCCTAACATCCCGATTCTTGCCTCTTCCCCTTCCGCGTGGCCCCTCTTTCCCCGTGCCCCCCTTTCCCCCTGCCCCCTTTTCCCCGTGCCCCCCTTTCCCCGTGCCCCCCTTTCCCCGTGCCCCGCTGTCCGCAGGTTGCGGCCGAAATGGACTGCGGCGATCTGGTACGTTCCCCGCCCCGCTCGCCTTCTGCTTCCCCCCCTTATCCCGCCCCGCTCGCCTTTTGCTTCCCCCCCTTATCCCGACCCGCTCTCCTTCTGCTTCCCCCCCTTATCCCGACCCGCTCGCATTCTACTTCCCCCAACACCCGTCCCCCCTTCTTTCATCCCCCCTCTTGCACCCCTCCCGTTCCCCTTTCCCAGCTTCCACCGTTTCCCCACCACTCGCCCCTTCATGCCCAGTTCCGGTCTTTGTCCCAACTTCCCCGCGCTTTGTCGTCCACCGCGCTTTGTCGTTCACCGCGCTTTGTCGTTCACCGCGCTTTGTCGTTCACTGCGCTTTGTCGTTCACCGCGCTTTGTCGTTCACCGCGCTTTGTCGTTCACCGCGCTTTGTCGGTCACCGCGCTTTTCGCCCTCATCCCCCACTTCCCCGGCCTCATCTCTCGCTCCCTTGTCTACCTGCCCTGCCCCTTTTCCGCAACGCATTCCATCGCTTCCCCACACTGACTCCATGTCCCCGCACTACTTCCGCCATCTCCCGCAATCCGCACTAGTTTCGTCAACTCACCTCCCTTTTTGTCTCACGTTCCCCCTGTTACTGTCACAACAACCTTTCAACAGACGGAGTGTCCAGGGCTGGGGCAGTGCGTGGATCCCGACAAGCTGTGCGACAAGACGGCCAACTGCAAGGACAAGAGCGACGAGGCCGCGTGGTATTGCAACCCGCTCGACTGCTCCGACCCCGACACCACCGTACGTCAACCCGCCGCACCCCTCTCAACCGCGCCACGACCGCCACGCGCGCCACACCCGCCGCATCCGCCTAGCTCGCCGCACCCTCTCCGGCACCACCGTGTTTCCCGCATTCGCCGCTTGCTCCCGTTCCCCCTCGCGTGAGCACCTAGTACTGTCTGAAGCCCCTGCAAGCGTGCAATCGACTCGTTTCCTCTCCTGACCACCCAACTCGACCTCCCTTCCTCCCTTCCCTTCCCCCCTTCCCTTCCCCTGCCCCTCCCCCCCGCTCCTTCCCCCTTTTCCCCCGCAGGTGGAGTGCGTGGGAACGGAGTACTGCGTGAAGCCGACTCAAGTGTGTGACGGCATCATGCAGTGCCCGGGCGCCATCGACGAGTCCCCCGGCTTCTGCCTCGACTACCGCAGCTCCAACTGCGAGGAGGACCAGGTCAAATGCACCGCCTCCTCCGCGTGCACCAAGGGGTACATGTGCGACGGCGTCGCGAATTGCCCCAAGATCAAGAACGCGACGAGCGGAGTGCTGTACGCGCCCGATGAGGACCCCAAGTACTGCGCCGCGTACTCGTGCCTGGAAGGGTTCCAGAAGTGCAGCGACGAGCTGCAGTGCGTGCTGGTCGATGCCATCTGCGACGGCAAGAAGGACTGCCTCGGTGCGTTCCCTTCCCTTCCCGCCTTTCTCCCGCCCTTCTCCCGCCCCTCTTCCCCCTTCCTCCTGCTCTCCCCCTCCTCCCGCTCTTCTCTGCGCTCCCCTTCCGCCCTTCCCCCAGCTTCCTTCCGTCCTTGATTTAACTGCTAACCTGCTGTGTCCTCGCCCAATGCCCTCGCTCATTAGCGGGCAATGCCCTCGCTCTCATGCTTTCTCTCCCTCTTCATCCCTCCCCCTTTTCCCTTTTTTTTGCCTGCACGTTGCTCTCGCACGTTGCACTCGCACGGCCATCAACCTCTCGTCGCCTCCTCGTCGCTCGGCATCGTCGTATCCCTTGCTGACCCACGTCCTCGCTTCCCCTTCCGTTCCTCACCAGATGGAAGCGACGAGTTCGACTGTGGTTTCCCGGATCCCGTCAGCACGGGCAGTACGGGCACGACGGGCAGCACGGGCAGCACGGGCACAACCGGAAGCACGGGCAGCACCAGCAACACTGGTACAACCGGCAGCACGGGCAGCAGCAGCAGCACTGGTACCAAGGGTAGCACTGGCAGCACTGGCACCACTGGTAGCAGCACCAGCACTGGCAGCACTGGCAGCAGCAGCAGCACTGGCACCAAGGCTAGCACTGGAACCACCGGAAGCACGGGGAGCAGCAGCAGCACTGGTACTAAGGCCAGTACTGGCAGCACTGGTAGCACCGGCAGCAGCAGCAGCACTGGTACCAAGGCTAGCACTGGCAGCACCGGCAGCACAGGGAGCAGCAGCAGCACTGGCACTAAGGGCAGCACTGGAAGCACTGGCAGCACGGGCAGCAGCAGCAGCACTGGTACTAAAGGTAACACTGGAAGCACTGGCAGCAGCAGCAACACTGGAAGCACCGGAAACACCGGCAGCACTGGGTCTTCAGGAGGTGGCACCACCGTGCAGCAACTCACAGCCCAGTACCAGGCCGCACTTATTGCCCAGGACAAGGCAAAAGCGGCTGCTGATGCTGCAGACGCCAAGGCCAGGCAACTCCAGGCAGACGCCAACTCTGCTGGGACCGAAGCGGACAGGCTTCAAAGAGTGGCTAACAACGCTGTGGGTGCTACGGCCAAGGCAAAGAAAGACGCTGCTAAAAAGGCCAAGTCGGACGTTGCTGCTAAGCAGGCTGCTGCTGCCGCTGCCAAGGCGGACGCGAATAGCAAGCAGAAGGAGTATGAGAGCGCGAAAGACACCGCGGACAGGCTCCGGGAGAAGCTGAAGAAGGCGATTAGCAAGGCGCAAAACGCGGGCAGCGTGAAGGCATCGGGTGCCGCGGCGGAGAGGCTGACTTCGGCGGCGGAACGGGCCGCAATGCAGAAGCAGAAGAAGCAGGATGCGATGTCGTTTGCGCAGAACCAGCGACAGGCGAACCGCGTTAAGATGTCTGCTAAAGCGGCTGAGGTGCTGAATCGCGCACGGGCGGCGAAGAGCTATTGGGACAAGGCGGTATTTAAGCTGGAAGGGCTGTATAATGATACTCTGGATGCTGAAGCGCTACTTGATAAGATGAACGAAAGGTATGATAATCTGACGGAGGATATTTCGCGGCTGAATCAGGAAATTCGGAAGTATCTGGCCACGGGGGAGATGGAACGGGTGAAGCTTCGGCAGAAGAACGTTGCCCGAACCAAGAAGTGGCTCGACCAAACCAAGTCGGATCGTGACGAGGCGTATCAGGCGTACTTGGCGTCGATGACTCTTCTTGAGGGGGGGGAGGGGGATGTGTCGCTGAGGCGGAAGACTTACATGCGGATTGTTAAGGAGTCGAATATTCTCAATGGGAAGGACACGACGGATCAGATAAATGACGGATCTGATGACAGCACTGATGGCTCAGGTGATGGTTCAGGTGATGGCTCAGGGGATGGCACAGGTGGAGGTGATGCCGGGGATGGCAGCGGTGACCCTTGGCTGGGCTGATTCATGCAGCGGGACTTTGGAATGTACAACAGTGGTGTGCGGTTTTATCATACTGAAGCATGTTGTTTTGTTGTTTTGTATTGTTTGATTCATACTTCCGGTGGGCCAGTTGTTGCTTTAGCAGCTTGGGGTGGGGGAACTGTTTTTATAAAGTTTGCAACTGGTTATGGTCCTTTCTGAGGGCATGTTGATGCAATATCTGTACACTGCTGAGTTTGGTTTTCTTGAAGCTAAGCAGGACATGCGTCCTCTTCAGTTTTGAGCCTAGATAGGTGAATCTGATGTATACATTGCATGGAAGTGGTGGCCCCCCACTGCACAATGTACACTGAGAGGCTGCATGAGACATATTGTTATATCGTTCAATGTTTGTTCATGGCGATTTTGTACATCTCACCCATTTTGAGTCGTAATTCTGACCAGCATTTGCGGCGATCCTCACGGAACTCTCGGGAACAGCTGAAGAATCGTTTACTCAGTAACCAGCATCGCCAACGTCGTGCTACCGGTTTTGCTCAAAGTAGTACAACCTGAAATCCACCTGGATAAGACGAGTCGCACCTGAGATTCAGCGCGCGGACTCCGCGAGTCACCGCACCTGCCCCAACAGAACGCCTTCCCCGGAAAAACACTTTGCCCCCCTCGTCACGCTCACGACGACGGTGAGGTGACGCTTGCGAAGAGATTCTCTTCAACGTGGCTCCCGCCTGCCCTGAAGAAAAGCCAGACTGTTCGATCCCTGTGAGTCTGTGACTGCCGCCACTTTCGTGCCGCGGACATGACATGACGGACCCATCAGTTGTCCAGGCTTCGAACTCATATTTCGAGCAACAACCATTTCACAGCCGTCCAATTTGGAGGTGTCTGATTCTTGGCAAGAAGCTCGGCCGGGCTTCGACTCCTTCCAACGACTGATCGCTTGTCCACGTTTTGTCGCTAAGGCAACAGAATATAGAGTCTCGCCCTGTGTGGCAAGAGGAATGGCGCGTGCGTCTGGGCTGTCTGGGCTGTCAACGCCCACGTCGCTAAAGCTTGTCGCAGGGGCGATACTTTTCGCAACACTCTTCGCGACAACAAGCTCGCAGGTACTGAGGCAACCGCGCGTCTTACGCGCGAAAACAGGCGCTCTCGCCGTGGGTTCTCGAGGCGTTATAGGCCAGACGACATCAGCTAGCGTATCTCCCGAAGCGTGATATCCCACATACCACATCAGCGAGCGTATTTTCCGAGGCGTGAAAGCGCCAGTGCACGGGCAAAATGCGATGGGGATAGACTTATAGACAGTCGGATTCGTGGTTCCGACTTGTAATGTCGCGTGAATCCAGATCGCTAACAAACCGGGGCGCGAAGAGGCTGCATGTTAGGTTGTTGGGTCGGCACACCAAAACGCTACGGTAGCCCGCTGTTGCCGCTTGGGGCGCCGCAAAAGTCCCTCAGCCCGCAAACCGCTCCGATAGCCCGTCACGGGAATATTGCGTGGCATCGTGGCTTCTCCTGTTCACCAGCCCATTAGTCACGGTTTTTCACTGTGCTCGAGATTGTCGGACTTCAGCCATGTTCTGTTAACATCTACGAGAAATAAAACAGGCGACTCTGTTGTTTTAATGCCGCCCGCATTTCACCCTCGCGTTCCTCTTTCGACATTGCCGAGCAAGCTGATCCCCTCTTCTTTTGCTTACCCCCGTTGACCCCCTTTTTCTCCCGCTTTTCCCGTGTGCTTGCACGTTTCTTCCTGTAGATCGCCGGCGACCCTTGCCCCGGTTCCAACGAGGTGAGCACGAACCCCTCAGCAGCATCACTGTCACCGATACCATCACCCTCAAGATCACCGTCATCACCACTATGACTATCACCGCTATGGTTGTCACCCTCGAGTGCCCCAGCTTTCTCTAAACCGGCATGTACTCTCTCGCTTGCTTTCGCGCAGTGCCCCAGCAAGAAGGGATGCTTCGCGAAGGGCGATTACTGCGACGGCGTGAAGAACTGCGCGGACGGCAGCGACGAGTGGCCCTGGCTCTGTAATTTCGACATGGACTGTGGCGCGCTCAATGCTACTCACGTGAGTGCCGGGTGGAGGAAAGGTATCGGACTATATACTTGCATATTGAGATAAATCGAGACTGATTGCGACGAAGGAAGGAGGGAGTAGGGTGTCAGGAGGAAAAGGGGCAAGGCACGTGAGTGCTGGTCTAGCGATGTTCGCAGACTGGTTCTTTATTTAACGTCCAATTTGTGATCTGGGTTTTTGCTGGTATTTCAGATTCTCTGTCCAGATGCCCCAAGCGTTTGCGTCCTGCCCGGACAATTCTGCGATGGGAAAACCGACTGCCCGGACTCACTGGACGAAAATCCCAAGTTCTGCTCGAATTTCACCTGCCCGAGGAACAACATCCGCTGCCCGGGGCTCAGCATGTGCAAGCCAAACGGAACCCTCTGCAACGCGGTGCCCGACTGCCCTGCGAAGACAGCTGGCGGCAAGCCAGTGGACGAGGACCCGGCGTTCTGCAAGCGTTACGTTTGCCCCAAGGGGTTCTCCAAGTGCAGTGACAAATTGCAGTGTGTTGACGATGTGCTTCGCTGCAACGGCGTTGCCGACTGCAAAGGTGAGCCTTTATGCGCTTCAGGTGTACTTTAAGCAGACGCAAAACAACATGCAGCGTGTGGACGATGTGCTTCGCTGCATGACGCTGCCGACTGCAAAGTTTGGCACATCCTAGCTGTGCAATTCTCTGGCACTCAGGCACTCCGCTGCCGTTCTGACATTTTTGCATTCTGGTTGTCCAATCCTCTGTTTCTCCGATCTTCTGGCATCTGCTAGTCAACGATCCGCCTGTGAACCTCAACTCATCTGCTTGTCTCCCACATGCCCACAGATGGTAGCGATGAAGTGGGGTGTGAGAAGTGGATCTGCACCAAAGGGTACCGCAAGTGCCGGAACCAGTTACAATGCGCTTTGAAGATCAATTGGTGCAACAAAGTGCCTGACTGCAAAGGTGATTACTGTGCTCTTATCATGCATGCCTTGCGGCTTTCGTCTCTGAAATGATTCAGGTGTGCCATGCTGCGGCATATGCACAAGACTCACGTCTTCTGTCCGTTTGTGTATCGTCTGGCCTTGCTGTTTTACACCAATGCAGATGGGAGCGATGAGGACAGATGTGACATTCCACCCGCGCCCCCTAAGGCCCCATCCACGGGTCCCCCCAAGGCTCCTCCTAAGGCTCCCCCCAAGGCTCCTCCCAAGGCCCCACCCAAGTCTTCTAAACGTCCACCACCACCGAAATCTGTAAAACGCCCACCGAAACCCAGGTCTAAAAAAAAGTAAGATGGGATACACGTCAGGATAATGATTTGCAATACGAGCAGTTTCGTGACAGCAATGTTGGACAGTCTCCTCACAATAACACGTTTTCTTTACCAAGTTCTGTAAGTTGTGACTGTATTGTACTGTATGGTTAGTATATTACTGAATTCATTGTAACATGTCAACCTGAGGCGTCAAACTCGCTAAAGTCAGATCAACCTGCGCACATTGCCACTCATTGCGCACAACACCCTGCGACTCGATATTTCAAAAGCCCAGCACCTCCAGATCACACGTCATTTCCACCTGACTAATCCCCTCCTCAACCGCACCTCCCTCCCCTCAATGGAGTGCTTTCCGCAGCCTTCTCTAGCCTCTGCTGCCCGCTGCCTTCTCTCCCCGTCATTCCCCCATTTCCCACTAAACTTCCCCCTTACCTTCCCGCCCACCACCATCTCATCTTCACCCTGCAAAGTCACCTGCCACCGTCACGGCGCACTATTAGGACGCTTCACCTGAAGCGGATCGATCGGCTGGAAGATCGGTTTTGGGCATGGAGTGTAGTACTGTAGCGTCATAATCAGCGAGGTAACTGATTTTCGCGAATGATCGCGAATGTACAGTAAAAATGTGTCCACGAAGCTATCACCTAAGGGAGCCCTGATCGACACAGCGAAGTTTTATTATCGAGCTTGAGATTGGGTGGCGGGGTGTGGAATTTCGCGCCACATTGACAACATCACCGACCCTAAGTTTCCCAGTGCGATTCTGCGCACGACAACATCGCCGTCGTCGCAGGCCAGGTTACCACAATCCGTAACCTGCCATACCGAACCTGTCACCTGTATATCGGTGCACCGTAGCTGCGCAGTCATGGGCAACGATCTTTACCGAGCTTGGGCTCGAAATGACAATCGGTGCGGATCCGCCGATCTTCGGCCGATCCGCTTCAGGTGACGCGTCCTTATACTCCATGGTTTATGCAACCACTTTCCAGACAAGATCTGACGCCTGGGCCGCAGTGATAGCCTCCCCTCCTCGCCTCAGTGAAAAGCTGGTTTTGGAACTACAGCGCATTAGCACAAGCAGCAGGTATAGCCACATCAACACTATCTTCATCTCGCAGTTTTTTTCATTTCGCAGCTGCAGCGTTCGAGCCCGCATCACCTGTCGTATCGCGTCTAAACCGCGACACTCGAGCATTTATAAGGAACCTTCAGATCCTGCTTCCGTCGTCCGTCCTAGTTAATTTCTTCAACTCCATCCAACGGTTAGGAGTAGCAGCGAATAACGCGCCGCACTTGGCGGCGTGAAGCATCGCCGTTCCCAGCCATGGCGTTCGCGAACCGCCAAGTGTGCCTTCGCCTGCTGCTGCTGGCGCTCCTCGTCGCGGCGAGCAGCTCGCAGGTAGCCATTCCCTGCAGTGTAACCATCGCGCGTAACCATCGCATAGCGCGTGGCGATGCTTTCCGCTGAGAGGACGGATAGCATGGGCGGCACACGTAGGGCGGCACAAGGTGGTTGGCACATAATGGGCGGCACGCAGTGGGTTGTAGCATTCAGTTAGCAAGGACGAGGTTGACAGGCTTCGAAAGCTCTTTCTGGCGGAGGCAGGCGGGAATGCCGCTTGGCAAGTGTTTTGAGTCGACTCAAAACACGTAGCATACAGTTAGCAAGAACGAGGTTGACGGGCTTGGAAATGTCGTTCTGGCTGAGGCAGGCGGGAATGCCGTTTTGGAAAACAGAAAGGGTAGTATTTGAGTCGACTCGAGCCGGAAGGGTAGTATTTGAAGAAACGGAGGGAGTTTCGACGAGGGGAGTAGGGGCAGGAACGCAGGTGGAAGGGTATGCAGAGAGAGACATGAGGAGTAGCTTCTGCGAGCAATCAGGAATAGACAGTGAGGAGGCAATTCATCAGACCGCCCAGGTTCAGACCCTTGATCTCACCACCTCGGCTCGCACTATCTACCTTTCCCCCCCCCCCCCCCCCCCCCTCTCCCCTCCTCCCCCCCCCCCCCCTCGCCCACACCTCCCCCCCCACGTTTCGCCGTCCTCCTTTTCCCCTTTCCCATTCCTCCCGCCATGCGCTCCCGCCTTCCCCTTTCCCCGCCCTCCCTCCGCATCCGTCCCTGCGCCTGCCTCTCCCCGTCCGGCGGGAGGCGCATGGCAGCAGCGCCGACCTCTGCCGTTTGAGGCGGCTTCAGAGTCCCACTTCCCCGCCGTTTCTCCGCTTCCCCCTTTTGCCTGCCGCGCATCAAAACTCCCCCTTTTCCTCCCTTCCTCCGCCCGCCTCTCCCCGTCATGCAGGGGGTTCCTGGCAGCAGCGTTGACCCCTGCCCCGGTGCCAACCAGGTCAGCTGCCCCTTCCGCCCGCCCTATGCCCTTTCCGCCCGACCTATGCCCCTTCCGCCCGCCCTATGCCCCTTCCGCCCAACCCACTCCCACCGCTCGCCCCACGCCCTTACCTCCAGCCCTACGCGTCTCGCCTTTTGCTGCCGCGCTCTCCACTCGCCTTTTGCTGCCGCGCTCTCCACTCGCCTCCCCTCCCTGTGCTTGCTTCCGCTGCTCCCTTGCCCAAAGCCCGCCTCAACTCACCCGCGCCTGCCTTGTTCCCGCCCCAATCACACCTCCCCTTTCCTCCCCTTCCCTTCCCCCCTTCGTGCTCTCTCCCCCTCTCCTGACTCCTTTTCTTTCCCACTTTCCTCTTCTCTCCCCTCATCTTTCCTCCACTCTCTTCTCTCCTCCCCTCGCCTCCCTCGCAGTGTCCCAGCAAGGCGGGATGCTTCAGCCGGGGCGACTACTGCGACGGGGTGAAGAACTGCGCAGACGGCAGCGACGAGTGGCCGTGGATATGCAGCTTCGACATGGACTGTGGCGCGCTCAACGCCACGCACGTCCTCTGCCCGGACTCCCCCAGCGTCTGCATCCTTCCCGGGCAGTACTGCGACGGAAAAACCGACTGCCCGGACGCGCTCGACGAAAACCCCGGCTTCTGCGCGAATTTCACCTGCCCGAGAAACAGCCTCCGCTGCCCGGGGCTGAGCACGTGCAAGCCGGGAGGAGCGCTGTGTAACGCCGTCCCCGACTGCCCGGGAAAACTTGCTGGGAGTGTGGCTGTGGATGAAGATCCGGCCTTCTGCCGGGGATATACTTGCCCGAAGGGGTCCTCTAAGTGCAGTGATAACCTGCAGTGTGTGGATGATGTGTTGCGGTGCAATGGAGTGAAGGAATGCAAGGATGGGAGTGACGAGGTGGGGTGTGACAAGTGGAACTGCACCAAGGGGTTCCGCAAGTGCAAGGACCAGCTGCAGTGCGTGTCCAAGCTCAACTGGTGCAACAAAGTTGCCGACTGCAAAGGTGAGGAGGAGCGACACGCACACAATGAGCCTGCTCCACTGTTTTTTATGATGGAAAATCCCCTCCTGCGAAGGTGAGGAGGAGCGACACGCACACACTTACCCTTTGTGTTCATTGCTTTGCTATGAGTTTTTTGCTCTCCGGTGCTGTCTGGGGAACTGCTGCCTCACCTAGTGTGCGCTGACTCCCGTTCTTTCCGTTCTTTCTCCCGCCTTGCTCTCTCTTTCTTCCTCCGGCTGTGAACCAGATGGCTCTGATGAGGCAACCTGCGTTCCCCTCAGCACCCCAGATGGCACCGGCAGCGGCACTTTTGGCCCTGGCAGTGGCGGTAGTGGTGCCGGCAAACCAGGGACCGGCGGCACTGGCAGTGGCGGCAGTGGTGCCGGTAAGCCAGGAGGGGGCACTAGCACTGGCAGTGGCAGTGGTGCTGGTAAGCCAGGGGGCACTGGCAGTGGCGGCAGTGGTGCCGGTAAGCCAGGAGGGGGCACTGGCACTGGCAGTGGCAGTGGTGCTGGTAAGCCAGGGGGCACTGGCAGTGGCGGCAGTGGTAGTGGTGCTGGCAAACCAGGCGGGGGAAGTGGGAGTGGCAGTGGTGCTGGCAAGCCAGGGGGAAGAAGCGGCAGTGGGGGAAGCGGCAGTGGTGCCGGCAAACCAGGGGGCGGTGGGGGCAGTGGCAGTGGTGGCAGTGGCACCAGCAAGCCAGGGGGTGGCAGTGGCGGGGGGGGCAGTGGTAGTGGTGCCGGCAAACCAGGGGGCGGCAGTGGCAGTGGGGGCAACAAAGGTGGTGGCACTGGCAGCGCGGGAGGCAAGACCAGCGGATCCGGCTCCTCGGGGAGTTCCTCTGGGGGTTCTGTGAAGAAACCCTCTCCACCCAAGTCAACCCCTCCTAAAACATCCCCTAAGCCACCTGCCAAATCCCCCCCGAAACCGCCCCCTAAGACCTCTCCCAAGCCCCCGACTAAGCCGGGCACCAAGCCCCCTGCTAAGAACCCTCCCCGCACGCAGGGTCCCTCGACTGGAGGGTCGTCGTTGGACTCTGGTACTCGTAAGAATGTTGCACCCAAGTATCCCGATGAGAAGAATGATGGCAAGAGGAGCATTACCATCACCATTCGACTCTGAAGTCGCCATTCAACACTGCTGGCAAAATCGTGTGCTATTAACGTCTGTATTTGTAGGCTTTCTCCATTGTATGATGATGTAATGTGCCTTGTACTTTTGTTGCTCCCCGTTCTGGTGTATGTAATTGTTGGGAGTCAATTTTGTTAGGTGTTGTAGCATTCGACTCTATTACTGTATCATTTTACATGCATCGGCGGTTATGTGTTGTAGCATTCGACTCTATTACTGTATCATTTTACATGCATCGGTAATGTACTTTAATGAGCCAATCAAGACAAACGCGTACACACCTACCCACCACTCCACTCCCGCCAGCAACTGTCGCAACGTAGCACAAATCATCAGCAGCGGGTCAAGCCGAGCCTAATTGTTTATGCTTTTGGGTAGAATCGAGGTTCTAGTTCAGTGTAATCGCTCGCAAACACATGACAGTTTTTCATGGCTACCAGTTTTCCACTGCATTGCCGGTCAGGTGAATGAATGAGCAGCAGCGCGCGCCAATCAACGCCCGTCCATGTCCCGTGAAGCTATCTGCCACGACACGCCGTGTCAGCCGCCGTCAATCACGGCGGCTCCTGTCCTGCCCGACAGGCTTATCTTTTGTGGTAACACGCCGTTTCGTAGAATTCTATAGAAAAGACTACCCCGTTTGTAAGCTACCGTAACCTACTGTAGTCTACCGACCCTAACGCACCGTAACGCGACGCTAATTCTGAGACGAAATAGCAACCGTCGCGCAAGCATGAGGAAGGCCGCGTCTGGGTCGGACTCGTTCGTCGTCACGCGTCGCCAGGCGTTCGCATGCGTCGCCGTCCTCTTCGCCACGATGCTCTCCCTCTCCGCGATCTCGCACCGCCTCGGCCACACCTCCGGGTTCCGCGCCGCGCAACTAAGCCTGTCGATCAACTCGCACTTAGCAAACACCGCGTCCGCAGTCGGGGGGGTATCGAGTTCTCAACGCGGCGAGATTGCGCCGAATGTGATTACAACGGGGGAGGGGAATCCGTGCGGGGAGATCGCGAGCCGGCACGGGGCCTGCGTGGCGCCTTGTCAGCGGCGCACCAAGGCCGGGCATTGCGTGTCGGAGATGCTCCGGCTTTATGACGAGGCTTACGCGTGAGTGATGGGTACTGGATATGAATTGCGGCTATTAAGATCAAATCTGTGCCATTGCGTGGCGTATGCGGGAGTGACGGGCATTGGGGTTCTCCTTATCCCCCCTCCCCATCCCCCCGTCCTTCCCCATCCTCTCCCGCAATGCAGCCCATTCTTGAGACATCTCGTAAATCCCCTGTGGCCGGCACGGGTGGACCAGCTGTTGTGCGGCCACGTGCCAGATGCCCTTCGTCTCCTCCCATCCCCTTTTTCTTCTTCCCCATCCCTCTCAGATTCCCCCCCATTACCGACTCCCCCAACCAGCCCACTGTGGCTAGCGCGGCGCGGGGTGGACCAGCTGGTGCGCAGCCACGTGTCAGATGCCCTTCGCCTCCTCCCATCTCCCACCCCTTCTTTCCCCCCTTCTCCCCCGCATTCTCCCCCGTTTCCGCCTTTCTACCTCATTCTCCCCCAACCAGCCCCTTGTGGCCAGCGCGTGTAGACCTGCTAGTGCGCAGCCACGTGTCAGATGCCTTCCTTTCCCCCCATCCCCCATTTCCCTCCTTCCCCCCCATCCCCCCCGTATTTCCCCCCAGTTCCGTCTTTCCCCCCTCTTTGACCCCAACCAGCCCCCTGTGGCCGGCGCGGGTGGACCTGCTGGTGCGCAGCCACGTGTCAGATGCTCTTCATTCTCCTCCCATCCCCCTGTCTTCCCCCTCATCCACCCCCGCCCCATTTCCGCCTTCCCCGACTCTCCCCAAACCAGCCCCTTGTGGCCGGCGCGTGTAGACCTGCTGGTGCGCAGCCACGTGTCAGATGCTTATTTTCTGATAGAGGTGCTGTTCAGGAGCCCCCCGTCTCCTCACATCCCCTATTTCCCCCCAACCAGCCCCCTGTGGCCAGCACGTGTAGACCTGCTGGTGCGCAGCCACGTGTCAGACGCCCTTCTTTCTCCTTCCATCCCCCACCTTTTTCTTCCCATCTCCCCTTCTTTTCTCCCCCAATCGCCCCCGTCTCCCCCCTAACCAGCCCCCTGTGGCCGGCGCGTGTGGACCTGCTGGTGCGCAGCCACGTGTCAGATGCTTACTTTCTGATAGAGGTGCTGTTCAGGAGCATCGAGCAGATGTGGCCACGTGGCATTGGTGACGTCATCCTGGTGCTGGACGAAGGCGAGATCGTTGTCAGGGACCTCGTGCCGCCCTGGGTCAAGGTGAGTCAACGCCCTGGGTCAAGGTGAGTCAACGCCCTGGGTCAAGGTGAGTCAACGCCCTGGGTCAAGGTGAGTCAACGCCCTGGGTCAAGGTGAGTCAACGCCCTGGGTCAAGGTGAGTCAGCGCCCTGGGTCAAGGTGAGTCAACGCGGGTCAACGGGTGCGATACAAGCTGAGTGTACATGAGTCAAGGTGAGTGACGTCACGTTATACGAGGCGAGGCGAGAGTGCGAAACATAAGGTAAGGGAGGGAGACCGTAAGGTAAGGAAGACTTGGGTGGGGTGGAACGCAAGCTATCAGGCAAACAATGTGCCGTGCTTTCATGTGTGAGCTGGAAACGCAACGCAACTGAGCAATGCAGTAGCTGTTGTCCAGCTGCCGTTTCGCCGTGCTAAACAGAATGAGTGAACTACCTCGAATCGTCAAGGAAGACCCTCCAGCAGTGTCAGTCACTCTCACCCATGCTACTCTCCTGCACTACCCTCTCTGTTCCCCTGCTTGCCCTGCCCTCTCCGCGAGTAATCACCAGGTATACTACGAGACGAACTACCTGGATCTGCCAGGGAAGATTCTCCAGCAGTGGAGCTACCTGTGGGCCGACAACTACACCACGGCGCCCTACATTGCCATCATCGACGATGATGTTGTCTTCAACCTCAAGGTACGGTGTGCGCATGCAGGCGAGGGGGGTGGGGCATGTATGTGCGTGGATGGAGTAGTGCAGCCGTGCAGCAGTGGAGCTACCTGTGGGCCGACAACTACACCACAGCCCCTTACATTGTCATTATCGACGATGACGTGGTTTTCAACCTCAAGGTACGTGTGCGCATTCCAGTGTGTGCATGTCGGCGTGCATGCATGCATACAGCCGTGCAGCAGTGGAGCTACCTACCTGTGGGTGTACAGCTACAAAATGCCCCCCTATCCCCCTTCCCACTCCGCCCTTTTCTCCTCGTCCTCCCAATCCCCCCCACATTAGGTGACGCCAGGTCTCCTGTTCAACCTAACCGAGGGCAAGCCGATTGTAATTGGATCGCGCAACGCGCAGCGCAACAACTGGCTGCCGTCCACGCCTTCCCCCTCTCTCCTTTCCCCTTCTCCCCTTCCGCCTCTCCCCTGTCTTCCATCTCCCCAGGTGACCCCGGGTCTCCTGTTCAACCTAACCGAGGGCAAGCCGATAGTGATCGGGTCGCGCAACGCGCAGCGCAACAACTGGCTGCCGTCCACGCGCTGGCTGGTGGGGCAGCACGCCTACTTCGCCAACTTCATGGTGCAGCTGCCCTTCGTCTTCCCACGGGACGTGCTGCCGCGGTTCAGGGAGCACGTGGGGGAATTGCATCGGGACAAGTTTGGGAAGAGCTTTGACAAGGCATTTAAGTACTTTGCGGAACGAGGTCCAAAGTTTGAACGGTGAGCGGTGATGCTGGGTACGGTGCGGTGCTGCTGGGTGAGATGTGGTACCGTACCGCTCGTCTTCCCTCGGGCTGTGCTTCCCAACCCAAGTTCAGGGAGCTCGTGGGGGAGTTGCATCGCGACAAGTTTGGGAGGAGCTTCGACAAGCCGTTTAAACATTTTGCGGAACGGGGACCAAAGTTTGAACGGTGAGATGTGGGATGCGGTGCAGCTGGGTGGTGTGTGGTCCTACTGGGTGATTTGTGGTGCTGCTGGGTATGTGTGGTGCTGCTGGGTGGCGTATGGTGCTACTGGGTGGGTTGTTTGTGGTGCCATTGTGATGTGCTTGCATCATTTTGAGCCCACTCTGATGATGTCACCCAGGCTTCCAGCACTCCACCCTCTGTCTTTTGAGTCGACTCAAAAGTCACCTCGTTTGTGGTGCCACTGTGATGTGCTTGCATCATTTTGACCCTACTCTGATGCTGTCAACCAGGCTTCCAGCACTCCACCCTCTGTCTCATACCTCTCTGCCTCCATCTCAACCCCTCTGTGTCCCTCTCACACCGCTCTGTCTGCCTCTGCAGGACGCAGATCGCCCACACGACTCTGGGCAACTACATGTGGGCCTTCACTCAGGACGAGGTGAGCAGGCAGGGATGGGACCACGTGAGCAGGCAGGGATGGGACCACGTGAGCAGGCAGGGATGGGACCACGTGAGCAGGCAGGGATGGGACCACGTGAGCAGGCAGGGATGGGACCACGTGACCAGGCAGGGATGGGACCACGTGAGCAGGCAGGGATGGGACCACGTGAGCAGGCAGGGATGGGACCACGTGAGCAGGCAGGGATGGGACCACGTGAGCAGGCAGGGATGGGACCACGTGAGCAGGCAGGGATGGGACCACGTGAGCAGGCAGGGATGGGACCACGTGAGCAGGCAGGGGTGGGACCACGTGAGCAGGCAGGGATGGGACCACGTGAGCAGGCAGGGATGGGACCACGTGAGCAGGCAGGGATGGGACCACGTGAGCAGGCAGGGACGGGACCATGTGAGCAGGCAGGGACGGGACCACGTGAGATGAGAGTCTGTGGGGTTCGTGTGTATGAAGAGAGACGATAAGTGGTGACAGGGCAAGGGGCAGGCAGCCTTATGTGGTGCAGTGAGGCACTAGAGTGAACCAACCACACACCAATCCTTGTGTGCTTGTGCACGTGATAAAAGGTGTTTTTGAGACATATCAAAACCCAACTTTTATCACAAACCCTACGCTGCTTCTCATGCTTCCTCCTCCCCTCCTCTCCTCTTCTCCACCTCTCGTCTCCCCCGTCACGTGCACTGGGCTTTAGAATGGACCGACCACGTACCCATTCCCCGAGTGGGCGAGCACATACCAACTCTTCCCCGAGTGGGCGAGCACATACCAACTCTTCCCCGAGTGGGCGAGCACATACCAACTCTTCCTCGAGTGGGCGAGCACATACCAACTCTTCCCCGAGTGGGCGAGCACATACCAACTCTTCCCCGAGTGGGCGAGCACATACCAACTCTTCCCCGAGTGGGCGAGCACATACCAACTCTTCCCCGAGTGGGCGAGCACATACCAACTCTTCCTCGAGTGGGCGAGCACATACCAACTCTTCCCCGAGTGGGCGAGCACATACCAACTCTTCCCCGAGTGGGCGAGCACATACCAACTCTTCCCCGAGTGGGCGAGCACATACCAACTCTTCCCCGAGTGGGCGAGCACATACCAACTCTTCCCCGAGTGGGCAAGCACATACCAACTCTTCCCCGAGTGGGCGAGCACATACCCAATTCTGTTTCTTATACGTCGTCTCCCCTCTCTCACGCACCCCAACCCCCACCTCTGCTCTCCCCCATCAGGTGCACTGGGCGCTAGAGTGGACCGACCACATACCCATTCCCCGCGTGAGAGCGCACATACCCTACTCTGCTTCTCATGCTTCCTCATCACCCTCTCCGCTTCTCCCCATCACCTCTCCCCCATCAGGTGCACTGGGCTTTAGAATGGACCAACCACATACCCATCCCCCGAGTGGGAGCGCACATACCCTACTCCTGGCCCTTCAGAGAGGCCACCAACCACACTGACAACATGCCGCGGGTAATCAAAGCTTACATAAGTGTTTCCGGGTACTTTGCACACGAAGCTATCTGCCATGCCTTTCCCCCTGGGGAGCTGGATGGGTGTGACGATGTTAACTACACCCCACAGCAGCAGGTCTGGCAGTATGCGTTGAATTGGTTTGACTGGCCGGCGATCAAGAACAAGTGGGAGAACGCGACGTATTTGTATGATGTGTATCAGAAGGAGATGCATTGCTTGTACTGGGAGGGTGTGACTGCAGCGGGGGAAAGAGGGGAGGATGGGGAGGGGATTAGGAGAGATGATCTGGTGCGGCGGATGCGGGATAAGTGTGCTGTTACAAACTCAGACTGTTGTTCCAGTTAGCAACAGCTGAGGTTCACCACTCACTTGAAAGGGTAGTATTAGTGAATTTCCTTTGCCTTTTTGTCACGCTGCAAGTGCTCCAACTACCGTACCACAGAAGCAGCAGAGACATACATTCATTTCATTCCAGAAAGAAGCTTTGCATAAACGACTCTCCTAAGATGCTGCAGCCTCACACCCATGCCCAAGAGGGAGAGTTCTCCTCATGCTCTACCAGCAAAGCAAAGCTTCACATCAAGCACTAATCACCCAGCCACTCAATCATCTCATGAACCGCTACTCGTTGTCGCCACTCCCAATCCCCTGCTTTCCAATCCTCCATGCAGCAGGGAACACACAGCGACGGCACACCTCATCTCTCACACACTCATATCACATCAAATCAACCCCGTCGTCCCCAATCTCACTCTCGTGCTCTCCCCTCCTCCACACGGCAGCGAATGCACAGTCCGGGGCAGCAATTCCCGAGGTGAGATAGTCCTGCACGCGCCCATCCAGCAGCCCATCGCCCCCCTCGCTGCTCTCCACATCCACCGGTTCCCGCAGCAGGCGAGTGAGCAGGCGGTGACGCAGAGACCGTACTGCGCGAGATGCCTCGCCGAGAAAGGTCTGTCCCAACACCCCGTGAATGCCCTCCGTGTGCTGGTGAGGCAAGGGGGAGAGAGAGAGAGAGATAGACCAGGGGACTTCAGGGGACGGAGGGCGAATGCAGGAGCACGGCAAACGTACATGAGCTGCATGGGCTGCATGACAGGCACCTCTGCTTCTACGGTAGTAGACTCAGCGCTTACATTAAGCTGCTCAATATGCACGTTGAAATGCGCCTGAGCCTCAGTCGCGGTCTGCATGAGCGGATGGGCCACCCGCGCCGTCACACTCAGATCCGCCACGCCCTCTATTTTCAGGTGGAACTCGTCTTCTACCCTCCCGGGCTGGCTCTTGGTTTCCGCGAACAGCAGATTAAAGCCTCCGTCCGCGGAGATGGAGCTCCTAGGGTGGAAAGGAGGGATCACATCCCGACCGTCGATCACCATCCGTTGGATGAAGCCCGTGGCGCCTCGGCCTTGCTCCTTGCCGTCCCGCGCCTTGAGGAATGCTGAATTCTGCGCGCCTGTGTCGTCGCGCCACATCAGCTGAAGCTCTCTGGTGTGGGGCGGCGAGGGGTAATAAGACCAAAGGAAAGATGGCGAAGCAGAGATGAGAATCATGAGAAGATATCAGATCTGCTCACCGACACACCATGATCACGACACAATCGCTAACGTGACGCGACACCGCCAACAATGGCGCGACACGCACCTGATCCAGCTGCGGATCGGCTTCCCTTTGAGCAGCCGCGCTTCCAGCTCGTGCCGCGCGTACTGGATCGAATTCTGCTCCTCCGAAGCGCGACTCCCCGCAGACTCATCCCGAGCCGCTCCAAGCGCCCCCACGTCGTTTCCGCCCTCGCTGCTTCCGCGGAGCCTCCCCGCCTCGCGCTCAAGCGCCGCCGCCACCTTCGCGGACTCAGGCAAGCTCCCATTGGCGCGCATCTGCAGCAGCTCCGCCACTTCCTCCGCAGTTAACGCTTCCTCCTGGAGCTCCTGAATATGACGTGGCTTGAACTCTTTCGCTGCCGCTTCCACCGCCGCGGCGAGTGTTTTTTCATCCAGTGACGTGGCAGTGCCTGGGAGGTTTGGCGATCGGACGGTAGCCCTTGATCCCCATGTTGATGTGGATCCGACGGTCGGACAGCAGGCAGAAGGAGCGGTCGAGCAGGCCGTTGAAGTCGAAGCGCGTGCCTTCCGCGCCGCGGAAATGCGGGTCCCCGTTGGTGTTGGCGAGGGGGTTGCACATGCCCCCGATGTATGGCGGAGCCAACAACGTGACCCAGTTGGTCACTTTGAGTCCCGTTAGTGATTTCAGCAAGTAGCATGGGTAATACCCGTAGTCCCTGCGAGATATATAGTAGAGCGCGGCGAAAGCTGTGCTTCGATTAATAATATAAGTAGTAGCGGGAAGAAAAAACTAGGTTAAGAAAATGTTTAATAATAGAATAATGCAATCATTATGTATCACGATACCGCAGCGCGGCATTTATCATCTTCTTACATGGATTCCAAGTGCCAGTATGTGCAGCCAGTCGTACTGGCGCAGTAGCTGCAGCATACCGACCAGTCAGTCACATACTGAAAAGAGAACCAGCAGAGGATATATATTTTAAGAAACACGAAGAAGCTGGGATATAGCGATAGCTGTGGCGGCGCTGCAGCGCATCAAGTCCGAGTTGAAGATTTGGAAAGAGGGCTGGCAAACAGCGATGGTAGAGGGTAAAGGAAGATTACATATTTGTAGATGACATTCGCAATCGCCAACACGCCGGTGTTGAGCACGTAGCGCTCGTAGTTGATGTTCGGATTTGGGTACATAGGCGGCGTTGCCTCCGTTGCAGAAACGCTATTAATCCAGAATCCATATCTCGGATTCCATTTTGTGCAATTGTAGCATCCGCGCGCTGGGGTTGCGGGCCCGTGTGGAGCAGTCTCTCCAGGATGAACCGCATCAGCCGGGGCGGCGAGGGTGACAAGTAGAGCCAGGAGACAAAATGAGGCGGTGGAGCTACCGCAGTGGCTGGGGCCACGTGCCATCGTTGCGAGGTGTGGAGGCAGGTGTCGGTGTAAATTTCTGCGTCTTGGGTTCAGCCTCACAGTGGGGGAACGGTCGGAACTCCTAAGGCTGACGGCGATGCGGTGTGGTGAGGAGTTTCAGACTCTGAAAGGTGAGCTGTCTGCATTTTTCTAATGAAGCAATTATATCCGCTGGCTTGGTGGTGGCTGGTTGTGAAGAATGCAGTGAGAGGAGAGATTCATTCACCACAATGGCGGTTGCTTGGCGTGGGGACGCACCGCGCATTTCTCGATTCAGATTGAATCGCTCAACAATTTCGAGCCGACTTTTGACGACTGCCACGCTGTCGATTTAGGCGCGTCATTTCAACAAGACATGTCGTCGCCCTTGATGACAAACATCATTGACTTGTGTGTTTAGCCATCTGTCTGCATGTGTCAAGCACTTTGTAGTCGAGAACGTTAGCAGGGCTAACATCTCGACTATTCTACTTGTATGTAAGGGTCAACTTAGCACACAATCTGGCGTCCGAAATCACAGCCCTGAATCAACACTTAGAGAGAACTAGGGAGGCCCTTTGGTGACAACTACCCTTTCCACTGCCGTACTGCTGCCCTTCAAGGAGAATCCGATCTGACACGCAAACTCTTAGTTTATCAACGGGAGGACCAAAGGTTTCCCCAACTATAAGCTCCTCGTCCTCAAACACAGCTCACCCCGGAACCTCCAACTCGCACAGGCCTCGTTGCTAGAGAAAAAACAGCAGAATACAGGGTTTCCATTTGTATATACACACAGGGTTTTCATATCGGGATGGTCAATGTGTGCAGAGCGGAACGAACAGTCCAAGGGCGAGTCACGCGCAGAACCCGTTAAATTTCAAGGTCTAGTGGAATTGGAACGAGTGTACAGTAATGGGTTTAGTGTTTTGTACTTTGCGGCATGTAGCACAATCTTCCCTCAGCGCAGGGAAGCAGCAGAGATGTTCCACGCAATTGGCACAGAAGAACTAGAGGTTTTTGTTCAAAGTTTCTTTAAACTTGGGGGTACATTTGCAAACCGTCCATGCTTCTCGATCCAGCTAGCCCAAGGAAGTCGTCCGACAATCTCATACAGAAATATATGCACTGCTTGTATTGGGAGGCTGTGACTACAGGGGGGGATGATGGGAGGGGATCAGGAGAGATAGTTCGGTGCGGAGAAACCCGAATTGCTGTTTCAATAAACAGCAACTGAAGCTCACTTGCCTGGAGTTGATTATAGCATCTTGGTTTGGTGTAACACAAGGTTAGATCATCAGGTGGAAGAGTACAAATGTGCCAGGCTTTGCTGATACCTAATGTTACCGTAGTTATAACTGATAGCAAAGGTACACGCAACGCTCATTTCATACCAGACTGAATCAAGTAATGCATTAAATACCCTGGTCCTGTGGTCCTGCTGCTATTTCACTCTTCATGCCAAGTAGAAAGGGAGCATTCTCAGTGCTCATGTCTAACAAGCACAGCTTCACTTCACTAGTCATCACACTTCATTTCATGAGTTTATGTTTGTTGTCGCCACCACTAGCCTCATCTTCTCCCCTGCTCCATGCGTCACCAAACGAGCAACCCGGCGCGGCAATCCGCGAGGTGAGATGTCCACACACTCATCCAGCAGCCCATCCAGCAGCCCCCCCCCTGTCCCAGCACTCCAGCAGATGCCAAGCAGCCAGTGTCGCAGCAATTGCACCCCGATCACCCCACACGCACGCTCATTATCTCGTTTATTGACATTTGTCGTCGACATCACTACTCTCCTGCTCTCCAATCACCACTCAGCAGCAAACGCACAGTCCGACGCAGCAATCCCCGACGTTAGATAGTCATGCACGCGCCCATCCAGCTGCCCTCCCCCGCCCCCACCCTGCCCCAATCTGTCACAGCAATCCACACGCCCGTCCAGCAGTCCTCCACTGCCCCCCCCCCCCCCCCCCCCCCCCCGCACACATCATCAAACGCACTCGTTTATAGCATGAAATCAAGCCCGTCGTCTCCCATCCAGATATCCGGATCTCCCCTCCTCCACGCGGCAGAGAACACGCAATCTGTGGCGGCAATCCCCGAGGTGAGATAGTCCTGCATGATCCCATCCAGCAGCCCATCGCCCACCTCACTGCTCTCCACGTCCACCGGCTCCCGCAGCAGGCGAGTGAGCAGGCGATGCCGCAGCGACCGCACTGAGCGGGATGCCTCGCTGCGGAAGGTCTGCCCCAACACCCCGTGAATGCCCTCCGTGTGCTGGTGGTGGGTGGGAAGAAGGGCGGGGAGAAAAGGTGGAGAGGTCTGAGCATGCGAGTAAGCAGGCGGTGCCGAGCAATCGCACTGAGCGGGATGCTTCACTGCGGAAGGTCTGCCCCAACACCCCGTGAATGCCCTCCGTGTGCTGGTGGGGGAGGAGGGAGGAAGGGCGGGGAGAAAAGGTGGAGAGGTCAGGTGAGCATGCGAGTGAGCAGCCGGTGCCACCGAGACCGCACCGATCGGGATGCCTCGCTGCGGAAGGTCTGCCCAAGCACCCCGTGAATGCCCTCCGTGTGCTGGTGGAGAGAGGTCGGGGGTGGGGTTGGATGGAGAAAAGGGCATGATCAGAAGAGGGCGAACCAAGAAGCAGTGTGAAGAGGTCATTGTGAGCATGAGAGATGTCTCAATGCAGGGGGTCTGATCGAAAGCATGGCTTACGTTGAGCAACACATCTTAAATTGAGCTGCAAATTATGCTCGATGACTTTTGAGGCGTCTCGAAGCTTACATTGAGCTGCACGATATGCACGTTGAAGTGCGCCTGAGCCTCAGTCGCAGTCTGCATGAGCGGATGGGCCACCCGCGCCGTTACCCCCAGATCCACCACGCCCTCTATTTTCAGGTGGAACTCGTCTTCTACCCTCCCAGGCCGGCTCCTGCTCTCCGCCAGCAGCAGCTTAAAGCCTCCGCTCGCGGAGATGGAACTCCCGGGGTAAAACGGAGGGGCCACTTCTTGGCCGTCGATCACCATCCATTGGATGAATCCGGAGGCACCTCGGCCCTGCTCCTTGCCGTCCCGCGCCTTGAGGAACGCCGAGTGCTGTGCGCCTGTCGCGTCGCGCCACATCACTTGAAGCTCCCTGGTGTGGGGCGGCGAGGAGTGAGACGGACGGCGAAGCAGAGAGGAAAAAGATGAGAATCCGGATATATGAGATATGCCACAGGAAGATAGCATGACCCACTGGCACCACCATGATCACGACACCGTGAACTGATGGGCTGACGTAACGCGACGTGATGTAATGTGTCGCGACGTAACGTGACGCGATGAAATGTGATGCGACGCGACACCACCGACACGGATGCAACACACGCACCTGATCCAGCTGCGGATCGGCTTCCCTTTGAGCAGCCTCGCTTCCAGCTCGTGCTTCGCGTACTGAACCGAATTCAGCCCCTCCGATAGTTGAATCGCCGCAGGTACAGCCTGATCCCCTCCAAGCTCCCCCGCATCTTCTGCCGCCCCGCTGCTTCCGCGGAACCTCCCCACCTCGCGCTCGAGCGCGTCTGCTACCTTCTCCGTCTCAGGTAAGCTCCCGTTGTCACGCATCCGCAGAAGCCCCGCCACTTCCGCCGCGCTTAACGCTTCCTCCTGCAGCTCCTGAATATGACGTGGCTTGAACTCATTCGCTGCCGCTTCCACTGCCGCGGCGAGTGTGTTTTCATCCAATGACGTGGCAGTGCCTGGGAGGTTGGCGATCGGACGGTAGCCCTTGATCCCCATGTTGATGTGGATCCGACGGTCGGAAAGCAGGCAGAAGGAGCGGTCGAGCAGGCCGTTGAAGTCGAAGCGCGTTCCGTCCGCGCCGCGGAAATGCGGGTCACCGTTGGTGTTGGCGAGGGGGTTGCAGATTCCGCCGATGTATGTCGGATCCACCTTTTTATCATAGTTGGTCGTGTTGAGTCCCGTTAGCGATCCCAGCAGGGTGCATAGGCCCGGGTTGCTGCAAGTTTAGAGGCGTCGTTAGTAGATGATGAAAAGTGAGGGTCGTGTCGCGGTTGTGTCATATGGCCTTCGAAAACAATAAATAAACATGTCAAATATGCTTAATAAGCTTAGTAATAGTACGATAGCACGCTAACGTCATCATGCTTACGTCAGCTTGCTCAGTCGCCAGAATTGGCAGCCTACTTTTGCGGCGCAGCTGCGGCAACAATCAGATTCGGAATTGGTGGTCTGCAGGAGGGCAAACGGCAGGAGAGGGTAGATTGGAAAGCATAAAACAAAGTAGCATCATGCGGCACGGGCGAAATGGAGATCAAGAATGCAGACCAACATCATGCAAGTAGATCGACTGGAAGTCGCGGCGCGGCGGCGGCGGCGGCACAAGAGTAAAGTCCGGGTTACATTTTTGATCAGCGTTCTGCGAAGAAAGCGATGTTTGAGGGCGGGAGAGGATTACAGTAGTGCCGAGATTGGACGGCGTGGTCGAGTCGAACACGTAGCGCTCGAAGTTGTACGTCGCAGTCGTCGGGTAAGTCGGCCCCGACGCCGTCAAGTCATTCGAGGCCGCGATGTAGTACCCCATTTTGAGATTAGCGCAATCGTAACATCCGCGCACTGTGGTTATCGGTCCGTGCGGAGCGCTTTCTTGAGGGCTAGCCGCAATAACCGGGGCGGCGAGCGCGGCGATGAGGATCAGCAGCAAAACTACTGTCGCGGCGGTGACGCCATGAACATCAGTCATCGTTGCGAGCAAAGAAATGGTGGCGGATGCAGGAATCGGATCGCACTTTCGCAGCTTCACGTTGAGCCTCGCGGTTGGATGGACAGGTGCAAGCCGGCGATGCGGGGACAGGTGGTGTGACGGGTTTCGAAGAAGCAAGTACTACTTCTTCAAGGAGTTCTAGTACTACAATTGATGAGTAATTGATTTTGTAGTGGCTGGTGTGGTGGTGAGGTGAGGGGGAAGGGGGGTGGGGGGTTGGCTGGCGTACGGAGCAGAGTTGTCCAGGTTGACAGTGCTTGGCGTGGGCGCACCGCACATTTCTCGATTCAAATCGAATCGCGCTAAAATTTGAAGGCCGACTTTCGACGACTATCTCGCCGTAATCAAATTGAGGCCACGTCACCTCGGCTGGATGCGTCGTTGCCTTTGATGACAAATGTCAAGTGAAGTCATCGGCGGTGCTAGTCAAGGGATTGACGAAACCCATCTAATATATTTTGCCATGTCAGCATGCTGTCAAGCAGGTTTCCCCAGTGGAATCGCTGAAGAACCTCAAGCTCGACGGGGCTGGGGGTGGGGTGGGGTGGGTAGGGGCAGATGAACGGTTTGTGCTGCACTGTATTCCATTCATTTTTTAGTGGTCATACGGGGATCCACTTGAATGCGAGATATTTCTTCGGGATCCATTTGCGGTTCCCCCCATCCTGCTTGAGGGCGTTGAACGTTTCTTTCCACTGCTTGAGGTTTCTGTATGCCCTCGAATGAGAGTCAAAAACGATGAATGATAAACCACAAGAAGCCCGAAAATTCTTTCATTTCACTAGTTCATCCGCCAAAACCCAGCTCATTGCGCTACACATGATGCCCATTTCAGTCCCCTTCCCCATCTTTCCCTGTGCTCCTCTCTCGAGCATGCGTTCAGTAGGGGCAGAATGGGATTGAATGTAGAACAAAGGTTGACAAAAAAACTACAGTTGCGGAAATTGTGGGTAGCCCAGCGTGTTTTGTCTGGGAAACTCGAACATCTTGGTTTTGTCGTGGGCTAGTAACGCGCGGGCCGTTGGCTGTGAATGTCGACCACTGGGCGTATGGAATGGCAGTGGGCGTGTTCAGAGTGGGCGGTTGAGTGAGCATTAGGGTGTATTTGGTTCGTACGGGCAAATAACTGTACAGTAGTAAACTGGGGCCTATTGTCACGCTCTGTACAAGAAGTAATGAGCATTCCCAGAAAACGGCGAAAGTCAGTCAGGATGGGGCAGCCAGTCTGATCAAAGTCCCCGCGCAAGTGGAGCGTGTACGTGTACTGGCAGATATGCCGTACGGTTGTACGTGTAGCACAAGATTCCTTTCCTTTCAGGAAAGCAGGAGTGGCGGTTCACGCAGTTGACTTGGCAGTGGCACGGACGGAGCTCTCTGGTTTCTGCTCCTGGATTAATGAACTTCCGGGTACGCTCGGGATGTCCCAGGAAGTCCCCTGACGATCACACACCTGCCGTTCAAACGAAGCAAAATCTGCCTGTAGTAGGAAAATGTTCAGCGTTGGAATGCCGAAGAGTTGGGAATGCCAGTGTGTTGTGTGGTGTGGGCAGCATGAACATCAAGGTTTGGAGCCAGCTTATGAGGGAGTGCGTTTTGCATCTAGATCAACACTAAAACATAGAAACGAAGTTGCAGTTGTCTTGCATCATACTGTATCTCTAATTCCTATTTATACTGTTGCCTATATGAGGGTCAATTTGTCGCAATGCCTCGTACACTCCGACTCCTGCTGAAACTGCAAGGTTCAAAGAGCGGACATATGTTTCGTCTATAGGAATGCGAGCAATCCCTCCCGCATGGTCCCCAACCGAACACTCTGTAATGGCCTCTGGTGGTAGGCCAAACGTTTCAGCTCCAAACAACAGCCAATCACCTGGTTGATATTGAATATCCTGCAGAAGAAGACGCAAAGCAGACTTATTTATGGAGTGCGGGGAAAGGAGACATCAAGAGGAAGAAGATTGAGTGTGGAATATGGTGGAGCTCTTATGCATCAAGTCGTGTTTCGAGTTGACTCAAAACACGACATCAAGAGGAAGATGATATAGTGTGGAATATGGTGCTGCTCTTATGCATCAAGCGTAGATGGTAGCTTTCCCCTGCAACCTTCCACTCTCCCACCCGACCCTCCCTTCCTCCACCTCCTCCCTTTCCGTACCCCCTTCCCTTTCTCTCCCATCACCCGTATCCCTCCCAACCACCCTTGTTAACCACAACTCACATGGTGGGGCACTGAGCCTCGCTTGGAAAACGCAATCAGCCGCTTGGGCTCCGGCTGTGGGCAGAGAATGGGAGGGCGGAAGACAGGGACCAGGGTGGCGGGAAGGGGGTGGCAGGTTACAGGGAAGAGTTGGAAAAACTGTAAGGTTGATGACATGGTTTAAGGATTGTTGCAGGAAAGGAGGAAGATACTACTCAGTTGGAGACTCGGAGTGGATTACCGAAGTACTGAAAATCTTGAGACGTCTCTGAAAATCAGCAGGTTGTAGAGCATACCGAAGTAGCTGTCGTGTGTGCATGCATGGATGGCCCTCACTTGCTGCCTGAAAGACTCCATGAATGCCCCCCACCCCAGCTGTCGTGCACATTTACCACCACGTACCACATACAACCAATAGTCCAGCCCTGCCCTCTTAAGCTGTGAGTCAATCTACAAGTTGACTCCAGAGGCTCACCTGCTGGTTGAAATACTCCATGAACCAGCAGCCCCAGCTGTCATGCACGCTCACCACCACGAGTTGATTTTTGAGTCGACTCAAAAACCACCACACACGGGCAGAGAGGGGAGACAAAACATCACCTGTTGTCAACACATGCATGGGCCCACCTGCTGCCTGAAATACTCCATGAACGCCCCGCAGCTGTCGTGCATGTTCACCACCACACCACGTACGGGCAGAGAGGGGAGAGGAACAGGACTCGTCTTCAACACACGCGTGGACTCACCTGCTGCCTGAAATACTCCATGAACACCCTCCAGCTGTCGTGCACGTTCACCACCACGTACGGCCAGTAGTCCAGCCCCGCTCTCTTGAGCTTCGAGTCCGTAATGTCGAATCCCAGAGGCTGCAGGGCAGGGAGAGCATGGGTGAGATGACTCATAATGTGACATCACGTAGGGCCAGTAGTCCAGCCCTGCCCGCTTGAGCTTTGGATCCGTTATGTCAAACCCCAGGGGCTGCAGTGACGGCAGGAAACGGGGAGCAGGGTGATAATAAAAGTGTCCTGAGATTTCTTAAATCAGCTGCATGCACGCTCACCACCACGTGCGGCCAGTAGTCCAGCCCTGCTCGCTTGAGCTTAGAGTCCGTGATACCAAATCCCAGGGGCGGCAGGGCGGGGGGAGGAGGAGCAGGGAGGGGAGCACAAAGAGATGTCATGCATGGTGTGTGCTATAAGGAATTCACCACCACGTATGGCCAGTAGTCCAGCCCTGCCCGCTTAAGCTTTGAATCCGTGATGTCAAATCCCAGGGGCTGGAGGACAGGAAGGAGAGGGGGAGCAGGGAGGGGAGCACAAAGAGATGTCGTGCATAGTGTGTGCTATAAGGAGTTCACCATCACGTATGGCCAGTAGTCCAGCTCTGCCCGCTTGAGCTTCGAGTCCGTTATGACAAATCCTAGAGGCTGGAAGGCAGGGAGAGGACGAGCAGGGCGATAAGGAATCTGTTTTGAGCCGTCTCGAAACAGCTGCGTGCACGTTCACCACCACGCACCAGCACACCCAACCTTCCCTCTCCCGTTCCCCCAACCCAAGCCTCCTCCCACTGCGCCATCACATGCCAGACATACACACACCTTTCCCTCTCCTGTTTCCTCCAACACGCACCCACCTTCACCAGGTGCAGTGGAACAGCCGTGGCAGCACACGTGCGTGCAATGGACCCAGTGTTGCCGGGGATCTGGGAGTGAGTGTGTTGTGGGGGAAGGAGGAAAGGGGGAGTGGGGAGGAGAGAGGAGATTTGACAATGGCAAGAAGCACACGTGCGTGCAATGGACCCAGTGTTGCCGGGTATCTGTGAGTGAGTGTTGGGTTGAGTAAGGGAAGCGAGGAGAGGAATGGGGATACGATATATGACGATAAAAAATGCTGTGTCAGGGAGTGAGTGAGTGGGGGAGCGGGAATGGAGGAGGGGACAGGGATAGCCTTGTGCCACACCACATGTAGAGACCATGGTCCCTGTATTTCCAGAGATCAGAGTGCGTGTGCGTGGAAGAGGGGAGGGGGAAGGGGGGAGAGGGAATGGGGAGACAGGAAAATGCGTGAGCCAATCACCTGAGGACACACAAGCACCACGTGAAGTGGCTTCTTCACTTGACCGTGCCCCACCTTTTCTCCCTCTGCCTCCACCTCTCCTCCTTCCCCCTTCACTCCTTCCCTTCTCTCCTCCTCTCTTCTTCCCTCACCCTCCAACTCGCCCCCCTTAGAGTCACCCCTGACATTGATGTCATCCGAGTTACTCTCGTTAGTATCACTTCCATCCAGTCCGCTTCCAGCCCGTTTCAGGCTCCATTGTTCCTCCCCGGAATTCGCCCCTGCATAAACCCTGAACCTTCGCCGCGTCTCCCTGCCCCCACTAATGCCCTGAACCCCTCGCCTCTCCCCCTGCTGTCGTTGCCGCTGCTGCTGCCACGTCAGCGGCCACTGCTCCCACAGGGTACGCAATACAATCGTATCTGAGTCGATATCCCGCCTTGCGCGCAAGTCTGCGCGCGAGAAACGAGCGGCTGAGTTCGGACACGGGGAATCGATGCGGTTATGGGCGCGGGGAACAAGTAATACTGCGCGGGAACTGCGCGTTGCAGCGGGACAGACGGGCGCAGGAAATTGCCGCGAGCTGCACGATTGCGCGGCGCGGGGAGCTAGTAGCGCAACGGAGCGCGGCTGCGCGGCGCATGGGACCCTGGCTCTAAGCCAATACATTGCCGACGATCGCGGCGCACCGCCCCTGCACGGGAGGTCTGCGGGATTTTCGGCAAGAAGAGTTTCTCTCCCAGGGTTCCCTCGCGCGATCGGTGGAACCTTCGAGTGCAGAAATTCCCGCGAGAAAAACGACTCGACTGGAAAGCTTGAAAAGCTCGGTCGAGTGGCGGTGGTTGTTATCTCGTCACGGGAAAATCCCGAAATCTCGTCAGGCGTGATTACTCACCACCATACAAATAACCGCGATAACATTGCAGTTACAGAAAAAAAACATTGCAGAGTAAGCCACCTGCTTGTCAGAGAGTCATTACTGGTTTCATAATAATCCAAGTGAACTTCAACAATAACCTCTCAATCCTCATAATCATCACCATCTTTGTCATCAGCATCGTTGCCAGCTTTATCATCGTCATAGTCGTCAGATTCCAGGTCGTAACTGAGTGCAGCGATGACGTGGCGCGTGGTGGGCAATGCCTCGCTGACACGTGGCAAGTGCCAGGGCGCGGGGGCAACCTTACTGTAGAACCAGGGCGATACTGAGTCGTTGAACTGCTTAAAACGCGGATTCAATATCGCCTCCCAGTCCACCTGGGTGACGATAGGAAGAAGGGAGAAAGTCCAACGGGGGCATGAGGAGAGCGAAGGAAGGAGTGAGGGCATATGGTAAGAAAGGGGAGATGGAAGAGGTGAGAGGGAAGAGGGTAGAGGGGAGAGGGGAGAGGGGAGAGGGGAGAGGGGAGAGGGGAGAGGGGAGAGGGGAGAGGGGAGAGAGAGAGGGGAGAGGGGAGAGGGGAGAGGGGAGAGGGGAGAGGGAAATGCGGAGGCATGACTAAGCCTGTCCCTAGCTGACACCTCACTTGAGCTCAACTCAGCGCCAACTGAACTTGTGAGGATTTTCAACCACAGCTCAGGACACACCTGAACGTCCTTGGGGATGAGTGAAAGCGTCTCTATGTCAGCAGCCAGGGAGAGGGGAGGGAGCGGGGACAGCAGAGCATGGGTAAACACTCCCACTCCAGCCAAGGCAAAGCGCACCTGAACGTCCTTGGGGATGAGTGAAAGCGTCTCCATGTCAGCAGCAAGCGAGAGGCCGAGGATGGAGATAATGCCGACCATTGCCGACCCACGGGTGAGCGGCATGAACTGGTACCAGTAGTACCCCATCCGCAGCACACCCTCCCTCACTCGCCGCCGGTACAAGTGAAAGTCAGTGGCCCGCAAGTGCGTGTCCGTGGCGGCCTCACTGAGCTCCTCCCATGTCTTCTGCAGTTCCTGGAAAAATTCGGCACTGCGCTCGGGCGTTACTGCAGTACGAATGGTGAAGTCGTAGGAGCCTGGCGGGGAGTAGGAGAGGGAAAGAGAGGAAGAGGGGTACATGTGTGTGTCGGTGGCTGCCTCACTGAGCTCCTCCCATGTCTTGTGCAGCTCCTGAAAGAACTCTGCGCTGCGCTCGGGTGTGACGGCTGTACGAATGGTGAAGTCGTAGGAGCCTGGGGGGGGAAGGGAGGAGGGGTGGATGAGTGGTTAGGTAGGCCATAGGAAATTCGGGTTACAAGAGGGTGTTAATGAACCACGCAGAATATACAACGGCGGGGGATTCTGGTCTGATCCATGCTTAAAAGTTGGAGGTACAGTCGGCCAGCAGCAGCAGGCAGTACTGGGTGACTCAAATCAAGAAACAGTCTTTGAAGCGCCTCAACAACAGGTGCGCCGCACAATACCTGCCAGGTGACGGCAATACCTGAGGCCTCCATGAGAGTCAGCTGGGTGCCGTTCATCACTCGCCCTGGAAACGCCTCGCTGTAACACTGTGTGGTAACATAGAAATTCACTTCGAGACACCCCAACAAGCAGGACACAATACCTGATGCCTCCACGAGAGTCAGCTGGGTGCCGTTCATCACTCGCCCGGGAAACGCCTCGCTGTAACACTGCGTGGTAACATAGAAGTTCTCCCCCACCACGCGGTGTAGATCCCCAAAGTCCCCCGCCGCCTCGATCGCCCTCCCGTGCACCCGCCGCGGCACCGGCAGCGGCCAGTTGGTTGCATTCGAAGCCATTTCAGTCTCCAGCAGAACGGATCTCATGACTTCAAACGCCCAGTCCTGAAACGGGTAGTACTTCAGGTTGTGCATCTGCCCGACCCGCATGGCTGTGATTGTACCGAAGCCCTTGGGGTACTCGTTTTTGAGCTGGTCGATCCATGTGATTGTATCGCAGGGTTCGGCGTGCTGCCTCCACCGTATGATTCCGTCGAACATGTCTCTCCACCCTGAGATCAGCTGTGCACCGTTGGATCGGCCGGTTGAGCTGGTGGGCTTATCTCGGCCGTTGGATCTCTTCCCTGCTGCGGAGGATTTGAGGGACACTCGGGGTGTTTTCCGTCGGGACCCTCCCTGTGCCCCTCTCCCACTTGCCCTTTTGTCCTTGCTGCTCCTTCCGCTACTGCTCCCCTCACTACTATCCCCATCACCATCACTTTCACCATTGATATTCCTGTTGTTCCTGCTATCCCTGTCGTCACCCTCGCTCTCCCTTAGCCTTTCACCCTCCTCCTCCCCGTCCCCATCTCTCGCCTTCCGTTCCTCAATCATATGCTGCCACGTGGCATTCACCCTCTGCATGAGATCCAGGGCGGCAAGCCCCGCCATGCGGTGTTGTCTTTTGTGCGGCATGAAGCCGTCCACAAAGTACTGCGTGCGCCGCCCGATTTCGTCCGCCTTGGCAATGAGAGCGCGCACTTGCGGGGAGAAGCGGATGCGGGGGGGGTTGCGAACCAGGCGGATGGGGAGCGGGCGGTAGGCGGGGAGGATGGAGAGGGGCGACTGCTTTCGCACCCATGCTTCCTGCCAGGGGGGAAAGGGAACGCAGGGGAAATGAGAGGGGGTTGAGAGGGGACTTAGAGAGTGTGTGACGGGCAGTTAGCATGCGCACCTGCGGGGTGCAAGGTGGAGATGTGTGGAGGGGAGGGCAAGGTTGGTTGCGCACGAGGCGGATGGGGAGGGGGCGGTAGCCGGGTAGGATGGTTAATGCGTTCGCAAGACAATCAGCGTGCACACTGGGGGTGCAAAGGGAGATGCGATGGGGGTTTCGGTGGAGGCCGATGGGGAGGGGTTGTTAGACATGGAGGATTGAGAGGGGCAACTGCGCTGCACTGCACCGCACCGCACTGCACCTGCACTGCACTGCAGGAGGGCCACACCTTGAGTTCGTTGAGCTTGTAGTCCAGGCCAAACTGAGAAAAGGGTAGGTCTGGCAGTGCAGTGTGTGATGAGGTTGAAGTAGAATCAATCATTTGTGGGCAGAGAGGCACACCTTGAGTTGATTGATAAGCTCGTAGCCCAGGCGGGACTGTGCAAATGGAAGGTCCAGCCATGCCCTGTGACAAGGTGCCTTGTGAGTCGACTTGCTACAAAGCTACAGGAACGGGGGCACACCTTGAGTTCATCGTTCAGCTCATCGTCCAGGCGGGACTGTGGACAGGGTATATCCAGCCATGCACTGTGACGAGGTGCCTTGCCTTGGGAGTCGACTCACTATAACTGCAAGCCGGCTCATCCAAGCTGGATGGGTAGATCCAGCAAAGGGTAGATTTGGTCGTGCACTTTGGCGAGGTGCCTTGTGAATTGGTTCACTTACGAATGGCGAGGTGCCTTGTGAATTGGTTCACTTACGAATGGCGAGGTGCCTTGTGAATTGGTTCACTTACGAATGGCGAGGTGCCTTGTGAATTGGTTCACTTACGAATGGCGAGGTGCCTTGTGAATTGGTTCACTTACGAATGGCGAGGTGCCTTGTGAATTGGTTCACTTACGAATGGCGAGGTGCCTTGTGAATTGGTTCACTTACGAATGGCGAGGTGCCTTGTGAATTGGTTCACTTACGAATGGCGAGGTGCCTTGTGAATTGGTTCACTTACGAATGGCGAGGTGCCTTGTGAATTGGTTCACTTACGAATGGCGAGGTGCCTTGTGAATTGGTTCACTTACGAATGGCGAGGTGCCTTGTGAATTGGTTCACTTACGAATGGCGAGGTGCCTTGTGAATTGGTTCACTTACGAATGGCGAGGTGCCTTGTGAATTGGTTCACTTACGAATGGCGAGGTGCCTTGTGAATTGGTTCACTTACGAATGGCGAGGTGCCTTGTGAATTGGTTCACTTACGAATGGCGAGGTGCCTTGTGAATTGGTTCACTTACGAATGGCGAGGTGCCTTGTGAATTGGTTCACTTACGAATGGCGAGGTGCCTTGTGAATTGGTTCACTTACGAATGGCGAGGTGCCTTGTGAATTGGTTCACTTACGAATGGCGAGGTGCCTTGTGAATTGGTTCACTTACTATAACTAAAAGCAGAAGAACCACACCTTGAGTTCATTGTTGAGCTCGTAGTCCAGGCGGAACTGTGCAAATGGAAGGTCCAGCTTGGATACCGTGTACGCTGCTATCTCCCTCTGATGGTGGATGCGATGGGAGGGGGAGGGGAGACGAGGAGAACTGCTTAAGAGGGTCCAGCTTGGATACTGGGTAGCCTGGAATGGAATGTTCCTAGAATGGGCTGTGGTAACAAACAGTGGCAGCAAGGAAAGATCAGAAGGGGAAGAGGGAGAGAAAGTACATAGGAGCAAGATCATGGGGGTGATCGGGGTGATGGGGATGATGGGGGTGACGGGGGTGACGGGGATGATGGGGGTGATGGGGATGATGGGGGTGACGGGGGTGACGGGGGTGATGGGGGTGATGGGGGTGATGGGGGTGATGGGGATGATGGGGGTGACGGGGGTGATGGGGATGATGGGGGTGATGGGGGTGATTGGGGTGATGGGGGTGATGGGGGTGATGGGGGTGACGGGGGTGATGGGGATGATGGGGGTGATGGGGGTGATGGGGGTGATGGGGGTGATGGGGGTGACGGGGGTGATGGGGGTGATGGGGATGATGGGGGTGAGCACGAGTGCAAAGACCAGGCCCAGCTTCATGCCAGTTGGCTGACTGCACACCACACCACACAGCACAGCACGGAACTGCACAGCACCATGCAACACAGTAAGGAACTGCTCAGCACCACACTACACAGCACGGAACCGCACAGCACCTCAACGCAGCACAAAACTGCTCAGCACCACTCAACGCAGCACAAAAGCGCTCAGTACCTGGTAAAACGCCATGCCCTGAAGAGTGCCGGTGTTGCTGTCTGTGGGCGAGAGGCCGAGGATGTGCGTGTACTGATGCAGCTGCAGAGGAATGGACGCGGAGGGGGACGGAGAAGGAGGGGTGGAGGGCGGAGTGAGCGAGTGATTGACACAGCAGCAAACCAAACCACCAGGGAGGGACAGAGGGCGAGGATGTACGTATACTGATGCAGCTGCAGGCGGATGGGGATTAGAGAAGGGGGGTGGAGGGCTGAGTGAGTGAGTGAGTGATGCAGCTGCGGATGGATAGACAGGGGGCAGAGGAAGGGGGGTGGAGGGTGGAGGAATGGTGGAGTGAATGAGTGAATGGCTAGCCTAGCACAGGAAGAGGGCTTGCGAGCAGAGACTGCAAAAGAAGGAAGAAAATGACAAAGCAAGCCAAGTGGAGTGAGAGCCTGAGAGGGCAGGCAGATTGAGACTCATGGGTGGAGTGAAAATCTTCACTTACCGCTGCCTCAAAGTCACCCAGCGCATGGTGCGCGGAAGCTTCCAGGTAGTTGAGCTCGATGTCGTTGGGATTCAGCTTCAAACCCCTCCTCGCTGTGGTTATCACCTCCCTGGTCGATGGCGGTCAACGGGAGTCAACGGGAGTCAACGGGAGTCAAAAGGAGTCAACGGGAGTCAAGGGGAGTTGGGTTGGGAGGAGTCAACGGGAGTCGAGCGAAGTGCGGATATTTCAAGTGAATCACGAAAACTGCTAAAAAGCAGGAGTGAAGGGGAGCCCAAAAGCAGGAGTGAAGGGGAGCCCAAAAGCAGGAGTGAAGGGGAGCCCAAAAGCAGGAGTGAAGGGGAGCCCAAAAGCAGGAGTGAAGGGGAGCCCAAAAGCAGGAGTGAAGGGGAGCCCAAAAGCAGGAGTGAAGGGGAGCCCAAAAGCCCAACAAGAGTCAACAGGGGTCAACGGGAGTCAGCAGGAGTAGCAGGAACATTAGGAGCTCCCCCCAGCCTCACCTGTGGCGGCCCACGAGCTGCATGAGGGATGTGAGGCGGATGTACGCCTCCAGCGTGCTGGATGGGGGATGGGGGGAGATGGGGGGAGATGGGGGGAGGATGGGGGGAGGAGGGGGGGAGGATGGGGGGAGGATGGGGGGAGGATGGGGGGAGGATGGGGGGAGGAAGGAGTGTGATGAGAATGGGGGCATTGGGTGGTGATGGATTGATTGCTTTCAGAGAGCCTTTGGACCGAGGCTGGCAGGGGCAGGATGCTGTGAGAGCTGAATGTAGCCTCTTCCGAACGCCCCCCCTCTCTGCCTTCATCCCCTGCCCTTCCAACCCAATCTCTCCCGCTCTGTCAACCCCCACTCTCTCTCCCAACCCCCACTCCATCTCCCAACCCCAACTCACTCTTCCAGCACCAGTGCTTTATGCAGCGCGGCAAGGGCCAAGTCAACCTCCCCCAGTTCCTTGACGTCAAACCTGATCTCAAACTTGACGTCAAACCGGATCTCAAACTTGACGTCAAACCGGATCTCAAACTTGACATCAAACCGGATCTCAAACTTGACGTCAAACCTGATCTCAAACTTGACGTCAAACCTGATCTCAAACTTGACGTCAAACCGGATCTCAAACTTGACGTCAAACCGAATCTCAAACTTGACGTCAAACCGGATCTCAAACTTGACGTCAAACCGGATCTCAAACTTGACGTCAAACCTGATCTCAAACTTGACGTCAAACCTGATCTCAAACTTGACGTCAAACCGGATCTCAAACTTGACGTCAAACCGGATCTCAAACTTGACGTAAAACCGGATCTCAAACTTGACGTCAAACAGGACCTCAAACTTGACGTCAAACCGGATCTCAAACTTGACGTCAAACCGGATCTCAAACTTGACGTCAAACCGGATCTCAAACTTGACGTCGAACCGGATCTCAAACTTGACGTCAAACCGGATCTCAAACTTGACGTCAAACCGGATCTCAAACTTGACGTAAAACTGGATTTCAAACTTGACGTCAAACCGGATCTCAAACTTGACGTCAAACCGGATCTCAAACTTGACGTCAAACCGGATCTCAAACTTGACGTCAAACCTGATCTCAAACTTGACGTCAAACCGGATCTCAAACTTGACGTCAAACCGGATCTCAAACTTGACGTCAAACCGGATCTCAAACTTGACGTCAAACCGGATCTCAAACTTGACGTAAAACCGGATTTCAAACTTGACGTCAAGCCCGATCTCAAACTTGACGTCAAACCGGATCTCAAACTTGACGTCAAACCTGATCTCAAACTTGACGTCAAACCTGATCTCAAACTTGACGTCAAACCTAATCTCAAACTTGACGTCAAACCAGATCTCAAACTTGACGTCAAACCGGATCTCAAACTTGACGTCAAACCTGATCTCAAACTTGACGTCAAACCTGATCTCAAACTTGACGTCAAACCGGATCTCAAACTTGACGTCAAACCGGATCTCAAACTTGACGTAAAACCGGATCTCAAACTTGACGTCAAACAGGACCTCAAACTGGGCGTCAAACCGGACCTCAAACTTGACGTCAAACCGGATCTCAAACTTGACGTCAAACCGGATCTCTAACTTGACGTCAAACCGGATCTCAAACTTGACGTCAAACCGGATCTCAAACTTGACGTCAAACCAGATCTCAAACTTGACGTAAAACCGTATTTCAAACTTGACGTCAAACCGGATCTCAAACTTGATGTCAAACCGGATATCAAACTTGACGTCAAACCGGATCTCAAAATTGACGTCAAACCTGACTAGGGATGAGCAAGGGGCGAACACGAACGTGTTCGCGTTCGCCCATGCACGAACACCCCTGTTCGGCGAACCGAACACTGTTTGGTTCGGCGAACACCTTAAGCAAAAACAGGTGTTCGCCGTTCGCCTATGCAGGCTTGTTCGGGCGAACCTCGAACACGTTCGTGTTCGTCTAGGGGCAAATTGCAGCAGCGGCCCGAACACGAACGTGTTCGGGCGAACATCGAACCCTGTTCGGCGAACACTTTAAGCCAAAAAAAAAAAACCTGTTCGGTTCGCCTCGAACGTGTTCGTTTTTTTGCTCATCCCTAAACCTGACCTCAAACTTGACGCCAAACCGGATCTCAAACTTGACGTCAAACCGGACCTCAAACTTGACGTCAAACCTGACCTCAAACTTGACGTCAAACCTGATCTCAAACTTGACGTCAAACCTGACCTCAAACTTGACGTCAAACCAGACCTAAAACTTGACGTCAAACCTGATCTCAAACTTGACGTCAAACCGGACCTCAAACTTGACGACAAACCTGATCTCAAACTTGACGTCAAACCGGACCTCAGACTTGACGCCAAACCTGATCTCAAACTTGGCGTCAAACCGGATATCAAACTTGACATCAAACCTGATCTCAAACTTGGCGTCAAACCTGATCTCAAACTTGACGTCAAACCTGACCTCAAACTTGACGTCAAATCTGACCTCAAACTTGACGTCAAATCTGACCTCAAACTTGACGTCAAACCGGACCTCAAACTTGGCGTCAAACCTGATCTCAAACTGTTAGATTATACTACTCTTCTGTATCCTTCATTGATCTAATAAACCCTATGATAGAGATAGGCACCCAAACAATGTTTGGGTGCACAACTAGGGTTAACCCTAGGTGGGGGTTGGAACCCAACCTTGGCCCAATTATTGGACCCCAAGGTTGGGTTGGAGGATTATGGCCCCCCCCCAATAATGTTGGCCCACTTTGACCAACATTATTGGGACCCCCCAATAATTCTCCAACCCAACTTATTGGTGGGGGGCAATAATGTTGGCTAGGTACCAACCACCCCCTTTCCTTAGCTCCAACTATGTAAGCCCTCATCATTCCTAATCAACTCATCGGTTCAATTCTCACACAAACTTGACGTCAAACCAGACCTCAAACTTGACATCAAACCTGACCTCAAACTTGACGTCAAACCGGATCTCAAACTTGACGTAAAACCGGATCTCAAACTTGACGTCAAACCGGACCTCAAACTTGGCGTCAAACCTGATCTCAAACTTGACGTCAAACCGGACCTCAAACTTGACGTCCAACCTGATCTCAAACTTGACGTCAAACCGGACCTCAAACTTGACGCCAAACCTGATCTCAAACTTGACGTCAAACCGGATATCAAACTTGGCATCAAACCTGATCTCAAACTTGGCGTCAAACCTGATCTCAAACTTGACGTCAAACCTGACCTCAAACTTGACGTCAAATCTGACCTCAAACTTGACGTCAAATCTGACCTCAAACTTGACGTCAAACCTGATCTCAAACTTGACGTCAAACCGGACCTCAAACTTGGCGTCAAACCTGATCTCAAACTGTTAGATTATACTACTCTTCTGTATCCTGCATTGATCCTATAAACCCTATGATAGAGATAGGCACCCAAACAATGTTTGGGTGCACAACTAGGGTTAACCCTAGGTGGGGGTTGGAACCCAACTTTGGCCCAATTATTGGACCCCAACGTTAGGTTGGAGGATTATTGGCCCCCCCAATAATGTTGGCCCACTTTGACCAACATTATTGGGACCCCCAAATAATTCTCCAACCCAACTTATTGATGGGGGCCAATAATGTTGGCTACGTACCAACCACCCCCTTTCCTTAGCTCCAACTATGTAAGCCCTCATCATTCCTAATCAACTCATCGGTTCAATTCTCACAAGTTATCAGAGCTCTTACGGCTAACGCCACTCAAGATCCTAGGACCATACTCTACCTCCCGCTGCCTGTGCCGTGCCCCTTGCGCCACTTAGTGCACCTCCCACCGGTTCAGCCGTGCCCCTCGCGCCGCTCAGCGCACCTCCCGCAGGCTCTGCCGTGCCCCTTGCGCCACTTAGCGCACCTCCCGCCGGCTCAGCCGTGCCCCTCGCGCCGCTCAGCGCACCTACCGCCGGCTCTGCTGTGCCCCTCGCGCCATCTCGGCGCCCCTTTCCTCACCACGTCTGCCCGCCACGACGAACGCGACCGTCAGCCGCGGGCGCGACGAACGCGCCCATCAGCCACGGACGCGACGAACGCGACCGTCAGCCGCGAACGCGACGAACGCGACCGTCAGCCGCGGACGCGACAAACGCGACCGTCAGCTGCGGACGCGACGAACGCGGCCGTCAGCCGCGGACGCGACGAACGCGGCCGTCAGCCGCAGACGCCGCGGAGACGCCCACCAGCTGCGGACGCCGCGGAGACGCCCACCAGCCGCGACGGACCCTGAATTAGGGTTTGCTGCTACCGCCCGCGGAGCAGTTGGACCGCTCTGTCCCTCAAGACGGTGTCGTCTACCTCCCCTCCCTCCCTCCTCCTCCTCTCATGGCCGACGAATCAACCTCGCTCGAGCTTGCCTCCATCGACAAGCTCGAGCTCCTCAACGGCACCACCGCCGTTAATTGGGTGTCGTTTGAGGAGAGCCTCTTCACGTACCTGGGCTCCGTTCGAGTGGGAGATTACTGCCTCCTAGACGTTGTCCTCGAAACACCTAATGGCCTCCCCCCCACTCCGCCCCCACTCCCAGGCTCCCCCCCCCCCGACGCCCCACCACTCCCGATCGAACCTGCCCCCCAAGCCCCTATCCTAGGGGCTTGGGAGGATGATCCGGACAGGTGGGCTCGCACGCTCAACAAATACAACAAGGAGCGGAACGACTATGTCATCAAAAGCAGAGCACACGCAGCTGCCATCGCCGATCACGAAGCTGCCACTGCAAAACTTGCAGAATTCAAAGCCGCCTCCGAAGAGTACTCTGCTAAGCTCCGTAAGCACCACTCCGATAGAGCTGCATGGCGCATTGCTGACCGCCGTGCACTTACTATCATTTTCTCATGCGTTCTCTCCTCTCTCAAGCGTGACCTTCGCCCCCCATCCTCCCCCTCCCTCTGGAAGTCTCTCTCCTGCCAATATGATCGCCAGGACTTACGTTCCCTCCTCTCCCTCTTTCACCTTCCAAGACATCACACTGGACTCCTCCCTCAACGCTGCTTCTTTCGCTCGGCGC